GTGAATGGCACCATCCCTGGCTAGAGTCAAGTCTAGCAGACCAGTCTGTTGACTCTTCCTAATCATCATCTTGTCCTGCAATTGCCTAGAAATGGCTTCCAGGCGGATTTCTTTTGTAACCTTTCCAGGGAGTGATGTGAAGCTGACGGCCCTGTAGTGCCCTGAATGCTCTTTTCTGCCCTCCCTTGAAATGTTTGTGGCGCTTCCCTCTCCCCAGTCATCGGGAACCCTCCCCAGTCACCGTGGGCCTGTTGGAGGGTGTCCTTTCAATGACATTGGCCCTTGGGTGCATGGGTTTGTGTGTGTCCAGTTGACTTAAGTCCTTGGTGCATGCGTCTGCCTTTGCAGTGCGTAGTGCTCCATTCCCAGAGACTCTGCTGGTAGCCTGTGCTCCGAGCCAGTAGAATGTGAGCAAGCTCTAATCCAAATACATTAAATCATCCAATATAATAAATCCCAGTGAGCGCACAGTACTGATGTATCAGAACTGGCTTTTTACCGGTTTAAATCACAGGTAAAATGAGCACATATAAAAGAAAAGGGTCTGAGTAGGGTTTTTACTCCTGGGGAGGAGGATAAAAATACAGAAGGCAAATGCAGTGCATTTTCACAGACATGTGATATACTCAAGTGTTTTCATGAGGCTCATTTGGTGTGGAGCTTTTTGTGAGTGTGTCCTTTTCCAAATAATAGTTTAGCAGTACAGTAATGGTCCAGAATGTGCTTTTGCAAAGCAAGCCAGAATAACAATGAAGTGAAACTGTACTTTAGACAGGAGGATCTCATATCTAAACTCTCGGATATAGGGTTAGTGTTTCAGATGAAAAGGCAGATAATGATGAATAGAAAAGAAATTGCTCTTTTTATTTCACATAATAGACGTGGAAGTGACCACAGATGACATACATTGCTCTCATCCAATCTTAGTAAAAGCTTGGCAAACAATGTAATATAAGTATCAACATAGACCATCATTCCTGAAAGCATTCCTGAATGCTTTACTTCTTAAAAGACTGAAATCATAAGCTTGTGTAGTAAGAGCTGTAAATCTTACAGCAATTTTGGTATCTCTGGAGATAGCAATTTGCTCTGAGTATACATTTGAAACACAAATGGTCATTCAAAGTGTTAGTAGTGGAAATACTTTATTTTATTGCTTTTTTTGGTAACAACACTACATCACGGTTTAACCCAGCAAGCTCCCCACCTTCCCAGTCGGATGGGGGAGAGAATCGGAGCAGAGAGATCAGAACACTTGTGAGTTGAGATAAAAGCAGTTTAATGATTGAAAAAAACTAATAATAATGATAATAATAAATTGTAACACTAATAGGAGCAGCAGTAATAAAACACATAAAGTTATACTCTCCTCACACAGAAGTCATGAGCCATGTGCTCCCAGCATTTAATATTAGATAAACACACACTGCAAGCAAGACAGCTCCAGCGAAGGCAGGGGAATAGGAGGCCTTGGGAGCAGAACAGCAGGCAGAACCTTCCAGGGAAGATGACCGTTGAGGAAGGAGTGGGCATCACCAGTAAATTTCCCAATTTATAGTGAGTGTAATGTTTACGGTATGTAATAATTTTACTGGCCAACTTGGTCAGCAACCCTGAAAGCCCCTGGCTTTGCTTCCGCCAGCTTCTGCTCCTGGCTGTCTCAAAACTTCTGAAGACCTTGATCGCTGCCTACCAGTGCAGGCTGAAAACTAGAAGTTGTCTTTTCAACTCTGTTTTCCATTAAGTCAAGTACTGTAGTCTTCTCAGAAATGCTTGAGGGTAGGATAAGTCTTTGCTGAGTGCCTGATCAGAAATTACCTGTCTCTGTTACCTGGTTGGTGGTTTTGTCCCTAAAGGAGGTTTAAAATTTCCAAAAATTTGAAAGATGCACACAACACACCTCATGACGGGAAGACTCACATTCTTCCCTGTTAGAACTGAGGACTGAGAAATCTGTGAGGAGAGGAATCTGAGAAACTCTGTTTGAAAGTATCTGACTTTCCACATCTCAGTATCTCTTGTGCAGAGTCTGAGGTAGCTTTAGGGTGAGATTCTCAGGGAGCTGTGAATGTTGTTGTCACACTGTACCTTGGGAGAGGAACTTTGAGGCCAGGAGGTAGATACTGTGCACAGTCTTCTTTTCAGTCTGCTTGAAGCTGCATTATGTGTGTCTTGATTTTTTTGTATGTAAATTCTCTATTTGCCTTACTTAGATTTTTGTGAAGGGCGATTTCCACGTAGTCAGCAAATACTTGGCAAGTTCTGAGGAAGCAGAACGGTGAAGTGCTTGAGCCTGGAGGATCCCATTGAATTCTGCTGTGTGATTATTGACTGTTTGTTTAAAGGCAAATCAAAGTATCCAGAAGAGATTGACTTGAATATGTGCTAGCACTGAGAGTCAATTTCTGATCTTCATCAGTATTTCTCCTCCCCAAACTGGGTGCTGTAGTTGCTTCAAGAGAAGCATGAAACAAATCCTGATAATAGGAAGTGTGTGTCTGAGATATTTTACTTCAGTTCATTTCAGTTATTAAAGTAGCAGAATAGGAAATGTAATTGAAGGTTTCAGGTGCACTTGAGCTTTGCTATGTTACAGAAATTATATGTATTTGCTTCTTTTTAAAATCTAGGAGATAGCTTGCTCATTAGACTGCTATTAACTGTGGTACAGAGTTTAAAAGTGGTGATTGCCTTAAAAACAGGATACCTTATATTATTATTTATGTGAAAGTAAATTATCATATTTGTACCTGTAAATGCTCAGAATGATGCTGACTGTCTCCTTGATTAGTGGTTTTGTAACATCTTTTTCTAATGGGGCAGTGTCCTAGATGGTGCTGTAGTAATTTCAAGTTGATGTAAATTTGTAAACTTAGTGCCTGTTAATCTCTTTAACTTGTCAAGTTAAATTGCTGCAATCTAAATACACTCTTATATTGATGTAGACAGAATAGCCAGATAACTGTTTATAGTCTTTTTTTTTTTCCTATGGATTGTTTGTGATCAACTGAGGTAATTTTTTAATATGTTAATACATGGTCTCTTTCACTTATATACTGCAGTACTGGGGTGGTTTTTTTGGTAGGATGTGTGCAGTGTAATTTGTTTTTAACTGTAAACATTTTGAACTGGGATTCTAAAGAGAAACCAAAGCACAGTGGACATAATCATAGAACTTCCTATAACTCATGGAGAAAAACTATTATTATCAGAGTGGTAGTAAAAACTCTAATACCTGTTGTTTTGTTTTACCTTAGCTTTTAAAATGTAGATGCTATATTACATAAAGCTAGCATGGAAAAAACTAACTGGGAGACATTCTGTTGGAAATACATTTTTCCTCCTTCACACCTAGAGTGCGTGGTGTTTGTGAATGTCACACATGTGGGCAAGCTCAATATTTTTTGTGATTCAGAGCAAGTTTGTCACTCCTGGCAAGACAGAAATCAGTTGCCAGTGGATGTGATGAGGTTTAGTGTGAAGATAATTGTAGTTGGACTGTGACAAATCCTTTATATTAATTAATGGGAACAATTTGTTATGACAAGACCCCCCACCCCTAATTAGCTGACAATTTATAACTGAGGAAGAACGGGGATTGACTTAAACCTTGAACACTTAAACAGGTTAACATAATTAAAATAAATGAGAACCACATTTGGCATTCCTCATTTTAATTATGTGAAAGTTATATTTGCATGTTGCTTTGTGCTTCTTGTATGTTCGTTCAGGCTCCGTGGATATTATTCTGTCTGTATTTTTAAACTAGAAACACTGCTTTTGGCAAAGCTTAAATAATTCCCTAGAATTTCACAAATCTCTTCAGTGATGGTAAGGCAGTGCTTAGTCTGTTTGTGTTGGGAAATGAAAATTAAAAAGTTGAAAATTTCAGTTCCACATTTCTAATTAAGCTATTTATGTTTATGAAGTCTTAATTAAAATATTTGATTTTGAATTTGTATAGTAATCTTAACCTGACTTTCTGGGAAATCTTGTTGGAGTAGTGTTTTGATGGAGGGGGAATATTTTTACTTGTAGAACTTCATGTACTGTTGCTTTCATATTTCTGCTGCCACAGCTTGTCTGCGTCTCTAATCTGTTTTATATAGTGATGGCACACTACTTAAATAGCAGTATCAGGGGAAAAATGGGAAAGTTTAGTGTGGGAAGTACGCAGAAATATGAAGCTAAGCTAAAAGGAGAAATGTACTTTGAAACTTGGCACAACAGCATTTTCCAGTAAAGTGTCCTATTATTTGGGAAAATCTGTTGTATTTGGTTCGCAGCGTATCGAATGTGATTTCTTTAATTGTTCCTAGGTGTTTATAATGTGCATATTTTTTAAAGGAACTAAAAAATGGAAAGCTATTTGCAATGTATTTTGCGCTTTTTACACAAAACTTGTCAGAAATTGTACTTTTGAAATGCAAAGCCTCAAGGTTATGCTTTCAGTTTGACTTGATTCACTCAAGAACATGACTTCAGTGATTTATGCTGGGAAGTGTTTGTGGACAACTGAAGAGAGAATTGCAATTCCCTCGCAAAGTGTAGCACATCCAGTTTATTAACTGGATTTCATTGTTTAAGTGTTAAATATTAAACACTGATACACTGGTGTTCTCAGTCTTTTCAGCATTTCAACCAGATGGACGTGACAGTTTGTAAGTTGCAGTAGTTGCTTCTCAGTTTAAAGCTGTGCAGGCTGCTTACCAGCTTTTATGTTTACTGGAGATTTTTCTCAGCGTTCGTAGACTGAAAAGTAATAAAATAGGAGTTGTATTCTCTCAAAGTTCTGAACCACAGAATATACCCCTTCCCGTGGAATTCTGGAAAGGACTTCCAGAAGCTACAGAGATTTCACTTCTGCATTAGCTCTGCATACTGAAAACACTCTAAAAACAGTTTTGCTCTGAGACTGTGCGTTTTTATTTATTATAGGTATGCTTATTTCTTTCTAGATTTTGATGTACAAAATAGCATCTAAACAACTTATTTTCATTCTTTCACAGGCTGCTGAATCAGGAATAATAAAAGTGAAAACCATTGCTGCGCGGAACACTGATATTTTGGCAGGTAATTATTTGCAATGCAATGGGAAAAATAAACTTGGGTTGCAGATGCCTTGGATGCACAAAATAATCCTACATGTCTTCTATATCAGTGATGCTTTACTTTTTGGCACCTAGCAAAAAATCCAGTAGTATGAGAATTTTTTAATACTGCTTCTGTTTCATGTTAGTGCCTTACTGATGCTGAGGAAGGTCTCCATTTTCAGTTGTGGCTCTACAAAAGTAACCATCCACTTAGAAAAACAGGATTAAATGCTTAGGCTCCAAATTCTCCGTAACTTATTCCCTGTCTGCCTTCACCACAGCTGTTGTTGAGTGCTCTGTGTGGAGTTGTGCAGTATGCTCCTCATCTGTGTGTTTAGTATGGGAGTCCAGCCTTTGGACACTTGGACCTGGCAGGCAAAATTCCATCTTAATCTGAGACAAGGTCATTCAAGTGCAGATGTACCATTGCCTTGAGGGACAGGAGATATCTTGTGAGTTGCAGCTTTGTAAGTGCTTAAAACAGTATCTGTGATTTTTTTTCAGCTGTCTTAAGTAGCATGTAAATTGATGGCTTCTTGCTGATTGCTGCTGAAGCCTTTGGCGAGATTTGAATGTCCCTGTATGAGTATTTCAGTGTCTACCCCAGCTGTAGTCAGAATCCTTACAATGCTGAATTATTTGAAAGGTCCAAATGAAATAGATGTGTCGCTGTTTCTTGTTTTGAGGTATGTAAATCAGATATTGGTAAGGAGGCACTTTCTAGAATGACTTGAATTAGCAGTCCCACCCCTCAATATTTCACTTTAATGCCTCTTTTTTATTTATTTTCTTTGTTTTACTGCTGTCATGAATGCTGACATAAGTGGGAAAGCTATGCCAGGTAATGTCAGCTATGCATCAAAATACACAAATGAACAAGAGAAATCTCTAGTTAGCCATTTGGGAAGCTGTCAACATTCTTTGGCATATTACTGTGTATGAACTTCGTATTTTAGAAAGCTAGCTTGTAATCCTGCAAAATTATTTGGATTTTTTTAATCTTAATTTCAAAGTGGAGAGATGTGAAAGATCACTGAGTTTGGCCATGGATAGGCAGTCTTTTATATTTTGAGGGAATGCATTCTGTTATTGGTTGAATTTTGTAAGTACTTTTCCTTTGGAAGCTTTAAGCTAGAATGTAGTCAGCATTTATGTCATTCATGAAAAATAATGCAAAGATTTGTTGTTTTGAGGTTTGGAAAACCAGCAGGTCCTAGAAGTTATTTTGATTACTCAATCTTTGCTAATAGGACAGGAACTTTTTCCCAGTAAGAAACTGTGGAACAGATGGGAACATACGCTTTGCCTGCACATTATCCTAACGTTCCACAATTTAAACATAATGCCATACAACAGTCCCAGTTCTTTATGCAATCTTGTCTTTTCTGAGGTATCAATCGTAAACTAATCTTGTAGACAAGTTAATGCCAAGATCTCTGATATCTCCTACGTGCTATTTAAAACTTTTTTGGAGGAAGATAGTATATATACTTTAGTAATAATAAAGCTCCAAAAGGGTACTGTAACTGTAAAATCTAGTGAAGCAAGTACTTTTTCACTGCTAGATGATTTAGGAACATCTACTAGACACTCTAGTAATCTGAATAAGTATTTTGATCAGGATATGATTTTTCTTTATATTTTGATGTAAACTGTCCTTTCACTAAAATAGATGAGAACAACTGTATCATATTGTTTCGAGTAAGCTGAGTCGATGCTTTCTTGAAGCATTACACTATGTAGGATTATAATTTTTGGGAAAATAGTTGCAATCTTAAAATGACAAATACATAGAGGTAATATTATGTATGGTGAGATGCATTTAATTTGCCAGAGCTCTGAGGTCATTGATGTAACTTCTGTTTTTCTCTTGGAAAAGTTAAGTAGAACAGTTTCAAAGTCTTCATGCTTGGCAATCTGTATGTGCTTTATAATTTATTTATGAGAGTTTGAATAACTCCAGAAGGAAAGTCAGCTTGTACTTTACATCACAGGAGATAAATGTGAGAAATTATTTCCACGTGGCTCTGAGATGTGCGATTCATGCTTTGTTTCAGAATTTCTTTTAGAAAATTAGAGTTATAATCTCACTGATGGAATGAAGAAATAAATTTACTTTCCCAAAACTTCTTTTTGGAAATTGTTCATTATGGTAAAATTATTTTTAATATATTCTTACATAATTTTGTAGCAAAATGGAAGCAGACCTGGATATAAGAAAATGCTTTAGTATTTTAAGACTGAAGCTAATAAAACGATCAGTATCAAACCAGATCTACGAAACACTAATTTTTAAGCTTCATAAAGTAAAAATCCTTGTACAGATCCTATTGTGAGATTGTTTTTAGTGGATTATAGAAAAAATAATGTAAGAGGCTTAAATTTTAATTTTTCTTGTTATTTATTAACTTGTGCCATTTTTGCCATTCAGGACTTTATCAAGAATCATACGTTAAGGATAAATGTTTTGTGGTATTTTTTTAAAAATTTCTGCTTTCTTCTTTCTGCTTGATGGTTAGAATTTAGTGGTAATTCAGAAATTTATGAGTGAAGAAGAATTTGTGCCCATGTTAGAATGAGGTCTCTAGGCTCTGTCGGCCATGTGTTGGAAGTGTTCATAGACTATAAAGGCAGCTTAGACATCTAGCCCAGTTGCAGACACACTTAGATGCCTAAATTACATGTCTTAATTGAGAATTCCAGTTTTGATGAAGTAGCCAATATTTTGTTCTTAATCTGGTTTTACAGTATATTTTAAAAACAGGTTTATTTGCTTTGAAGTGAAGTGAAGCCATTTAAATCAAAGCAGATTGTTAAGCAGGCAGTGAACCTATGTATTCATTCACATGTATGCTGACATTTTAATTGGTTTTGATTTGGTGCAAAGTCAGCCTCTGTCAACTGTACATAGAGCCTGTACTGGCTCTGAAGAGGCTGACGAAACTATGGACTGTGTATGTGTTAATATCGCCCTGTAAGAACTATTACCTTAAAGAAAGTTGGCATCTATAATTTATAGTAGCCTGTTTGTTTTGTAGAAACTTGTTAGTCATGTTAGTTAGTGCATCCGTGGAAAAATATCATTAAAATATATTTTTAAAGCTTTTACCTTGATGTTTGTTTGTTGTTGTTTTTTTTTCCAAATCAGTTGTAGTGACACCTAAAAATAAACCCTCTTGGGAGACCCTCAGATTGCTCAACAGGAAAAATAAAATTGGTCATGTTTGCATTTATATGCGAGCATGTATCTTTTGTTTGTGTTTTGTGTTTGAAAAATGTGTGTGAAACTTTCATGAACACATTTCTCTTATTATACATGGCCTGAAACACAGTGAATGGCATCCAGTGTAAGAACACACAATGAACTTTAGACTGTGAGGAAATTTTTTTATATCTGAAATGGTGATGAACACCTAAAATCTTAAAAGTTTGCATGAATCAACAGCCACACACACAAACAGAAAAGCAGTCATTGGTCTGAGTTATGCTTTCTGTTAATCTTTCAAAAATACTTTTTTATTTTATTTTATGAAGTTTATCTCAGATTTATAGAATTACTTTCATGAGGAAAAACTCTTTATGTAGGATATTGTGTTCATTGTGAAGATTTTTCTCCATTAGAAAAAAAAGTTCATGAAACTTGTATTTTCTCCTGACAAGGCTTCATTTTCAGAAGCTGCGCTTTCTCCCTTAAACACTGGTTGAAAAATCCACAGCCAGGTGTACGTACCCATGATACAAACAGTCCAGTCTCTTTCCTCTCCTGTTTTGTCAGTGGCATTTTGCTCTTCCGCTTTGTTCCATGTGCTTTGAAATGTCTCTTCGTGCCATGCTTTCTGTTGCTTTTGAATTTGGTGCTGAGGTGAAGCAGAGCAGAAGGAGAAGGCCTCCAGCCTGAGGCTGGTCACCGCTGCAGGACCACAGAGAGCTCTGGGGCAGGCAGAACCTTAAAGCTTCTTACCAACCAAATGGGCTCGAAGTGGACGTTTTGGATTTGGAAAGGCAAAGTCACTGGAGTGTGTCAGAGAGAAAGTGCTTGGGATTTGAGCCTCAGCCAGGGCAGTTCTGGAAGTGAGCTGTGGCAGCCCAGTGTCTGCCTTCAGTTGGCTTTTCTCTGTGGTGTAAGAGTAAATCCCAAATTTCCAAGACTGGAGGTTGCTTTTTGTTAATAGGTATGATTAACAAATTTGAATGTATTCTTCCAAGTATTAAACACTGACTTCTTCCGTATCTCTTTTTGAAAGCACTGAAAGAGAACAGCTCAGAGGTAGTTCAGCCTTTTCTAATGGGTTGTGGAACAAAGGAACCAAAGATCACTCAGCTGTGTCTAGCTGCCATACAGAGGCTCATGTCCCATGAAGTTGTTTCAGAGGTAAGATCAGTCTTTATATAAATACATAAATATTTCAGTGTGAGAAATGTAGGCCTCAAACTGAAGGTCAATGCTTTTTTTTTTTTTTAGGAGGCTGTTTATATTGTAATTAACATAGTCTGCAAAATAGTTTACACGTATCTGTTTTTAAAAAGTTGTAATTTAAGAGAGAACCTTTTTGACAATAAAAAAAAAGGTGAGGAAACACTGTTAGTAACTTCTAGAAGGAAATTCCTGAAAATTCAACACCGCTCATTTAGTTCACATTCTTACACTGCAGGAACAGAACATGTAATGATCCTTGATAAATAAAATTCTTAAGACTGCATCCACAAAATTTACTCTGTGTGATAACATTATGTATGATGTTTTTGTTTCACTTTACTTTTAAAAATCACATAAAATGGATACATATTTCCTGTAAATGTAAATGTCATTATGTATTATGGTACTGCATTTACAGTGTGTGAAGAAGCTGGTGAAAATAGTACTGTTAAAATGTACCTTCAGTTGTGCTTGCATAGTGTAAAATTACACTGTTTTTTGTCTGATATGAATTAATTTTGAAGGTAAAATTTCTTTGTACTGTTTCTTCTGTACTTCATTTTCTATTTGGAAGTATGTGCTTTAATTTGGACTATGCTTTAAGAGATTTCTACAATCCTTTAAAAATATTTTGGGAAGCTTGTGACAATGAAATTGGGTTTATGTTCTGAATGTAATCCTATTGTGTTGACAAACAGGAAATTCAGTTATGATACGCATTTATGAGAGTGCTATTCTTACCAGTGTATGCACAGTATATCAGCACGTAAACATCTTAACTGTTAGCAAAAAATTATTTCCTTACAGGCTGCAGCGGGAAACATTATTAATATGCTTTGGCAACTGATGGAAAATAGTCTTGAAGAACTTAAATTGCTCCAGACAGTTCTTGTACTTCTAACAACTAATACAGTTGTGCATGATGAAGCACTGTCCAAGGTAAGAATTTTTTAGTGCCAACTACTGTGCTTACAATAACCAAGAGAAAAACAGGGAGAAACTTTATGTAGGAAGCATTTGAGAACTGTAGAAGAGGAAAGGCTTTTCTTGATTCTGTTGTGTCCCTGTTGTCTTTATGTCTAGACTCTATCTCTAGATAGAGATCTGTCTACATTAACTGGGTAGCAAATGTTCTTCAAGCTTCAGTGTTGTTGTTTTATCAAGTTTGAATCTAGGCTTAAGAAGGAGACAGTTACTGTTTAAGTCAACCGTAACTTTCCCCTCCGCTTCTTATCACTGCCCTCATTTATTCTTCTTTCCCTGTCTCCGTATATCCCCTTATTAGGTTCTTGATATCTACATCCTAGTTCACTTAACCTTTTCTCTGTGTGTATTCCAAGCACATTTTTCACCATTCTGTGTTTGTTCATCTCTCTGATGTCTAGAAACTTTCTTCTTTTGGACACCAACAACAAGAGCATGTGGGCACAGCAGTGTCAAATAAGTAGGAAAGGTCTTTCCCAGCACGTCTTTCTCCTGTCTTGTATCCTGATCCAGAAGCATGCTCACATAATACAATTACCGGAGAATCTTAATTGCTGTACTTCTAACAATTTCCTTAACACAGTTAAAATCTAATACATTTAGAAATACGTAGTTAAATTTGGGCAGGCTCCTACAAGGGTAAGAAGAAAACATTCCTGACAGAACAATATAGTGTAAAATTTCTTGATGTTTTTTTTCCATGTTGAAAAGCTCTTACAGAATATCAGTTTGAGCCAGATATATATTGCATATTTGTGTTTTAACTTGATTGATTTAAAGTACTGGTAAGCCATCTTGAAAAGCCCCTTAATACAGTCACTGCTGTTAGATTAATCTAGAGAATCATGCAGTACTTTCTGAAAATTCAGAGGTGTAAGACTGTATTGTAAAATTTCAAACTAACCATCTGAGCAGAGTCCACAAATTCTTTAGAAGAAAATGAAGCAAAAGAAAATTCTGAAGCTGGTATGGCTTACAGCATGTAGTGCTATGGTCAGGTGTAGTTGAGGTTCATGCAAGTGCAAGAACACAGAAAAGGACAGAAGAACAAGAAATACAGGTTTCACTACACGTACAGATGTTAATTTTCAAAATTCATTATAAAATAAGTATTAAATTATGTGTTAGAGATAATATGAAATCCAGTGGGAAACAGTATTCAGGTCACTGACAGCACAATGACACATTAAAATATGCACATTAGAGAGGAATAATAGCAGTTGAGGCAATGTGGTTGTGAAAGTATTATGATTTAATGTAGGAGAGGAATGGTGTTTCAGCTTTGGGTTGCCTGACCTTTCTGTGGTTAACCATATAATCCTAATGTCCTTTTGACATTAATATTCATATACGTTGCTTTATGTGGTTGATTACTCTGTATTCTCTGTATGATGATTGTAGTTTTATTGGCACATCATGATGTCTGCAATTAATACCACTTCTAGGTTAGCTTTGAGGAGGATTACTAATGAGGCTTTCGGCTAGGGTAATCTGTAAAGTTCACCCTGATTCTTCAAATTCAAAATTATTAAACCAGGTTTTTTTTCAGGCAATCTTTTGACAAACTGTATTGGAAAGCATTCTTCAAACAGCTATATTGACTCTTAGCTAAAAGATGAAGATATATAGTTGTAACTTTTTTTTTTCCCCAGGCAATTGTACTTTGTTTTCGATTGCACTTCACAAAAGACAATATCACAAATAACACTGCGGCAGCTACAGTGCGGCAGGTAGTTACCGTTGTATTTGAGAGAGTGGTTGCTGAAGATGAACGACACAAAGGTGGGCATACTTCTTACTCTGCTTGCTTGTATTAACCTGGTTTTGGACACATCAAATGTTTATCTTTTTCAGATAAAGTAGTAGTAAAATGTCTCTAAACATTATGAAAAAAAATCATACATTACTCATTTTTACTGTCTTTTATACATTTACTTGCATTCAAAGCAGATTAAATTCCTTAGCCTTTGTGCCAGTCCAAGTCAGTACAACAATATATAGAACCTAGATTTTTTTTTTTTTCCAAGCTGTGAGAACTGGTCTTCAGGTTAATATTGCAAAGGAATATAAGATGAGGGTTTCATTTAAGGTGAAGGTAGCTTAGACTACTGAGTGTGAGCAGTAGTAGTTGTGAAGAGAACATTTATTGGAAGGAAGTGCTTGGTATTCATGATCTTTGGTAATCAATGTAATGTTTGTTTCTGTAGACATAAGTTGCAGAAGAATTACCTGGCCAGTCTCCTGAAATCTTTTTGTAAGAACACTTAATGCATACCTGATTTTCAACAGTTCCTTTGTTCACAAAACTGGTTTTTGTTTTTACAGATATTATTGACCAGCCAGTTGCAATTCAAGGAAATAGTAACAGAAGATCTGTCAGTACACTGAAGCCATGTGCGAAAGACGCCTATATGCTTTTTCAGGTAGTTGGGGAGCATATATTTATACATTTGCAGTTACAGTTGTATGCTTCTATGTCTCTGTAAGGATTTTCCAAAAATTTGCTGTTGGCTTTTGACAAAGTCCTTAACCAGAGCCTCAGGCTTTCTTATGCACATTTATTGTAATTGGCAATGATATGCTGTGTCCCAGGGGGATGATTGGAAAATGGAGACAAAGTGGCCATGGAAAATGTTTTGCTATAAATCTTAAATAAAAGCTAAGCATGCACGTCTGCATTAAATTTGAGATGCATTTTTCTGTGAGCCAAACACTGCTACTATAGTTCAGTCTTGCTTCTTGTGCTTGGTATTGTATATTAAAGTCAAGTATATAATGAAAACTAGTAGTTGTATTTATGACACCGATAAAAATCTTCCTGACTTGGCAAATTTACTGGTCTTGAGATATTTTTGAGGGCAGGAATGAACACTATTGCTACAAGGATAACAGCAAAGTTTAAAATGTCTTTTTAAAAGATTTTGCTTAATAACTTTTCCTCAAACACTTTTTTTACATAAATTATGTTGAAATTGGAAAATTACTCATTCCAAAATAGGGAGACAGAGACTAGATTTTGCTGTAGACAAAGAAAACTTATGCTGGTCCAGGACTTTGTAGAGAATGTAAATGTTATTGTATTTCTTTTTAAGGATCTTTGTCAGTTAGTTAATGCTGATGCTCCTTACTGGCTCGTGGGTATGACAGAAATGACCCGGACCTTTGGCCTTGAACTTCTTGAGTCAGTCCTCAATGACTTTCCACAAGTATTTTTACAAGTGAGTAGTTCTTGGAGGAAAAAGAAGAAGACTTTTGTTCACATGTATAGTAAAATTTACACTTCATTAACTCCTCTTTAATTTCACATCAGTACTACTTTTCAAAAGACTTGACCCTTTTACATCATGGGTTTTTATGATAGAAAAGTACTGTGTGCTTTTTGCCCACTTTTTTCTGTTCCCATATACTTTGTGTTTGTGCATTTTGTAGATCTTGTTGTACTCTGTTTCACTTTTTTTTTTTTGCCATTTATATCTCCTCCCAAGATGCATTTTCTTATCTTGCATGATTTATGACAGCTCTGTAACTTAGTTTGTGGCATTATTTCTACAAGAACATTAACTTCACCCCACTCGCAAAGCAGCAGGAGTCGTGACTATGAATTGTGTGGATATACTGCATATAAATAGACTGTGATCCTACCGTAGCACATTTTAGCAGACAGTAGCTAAATTTAAAAAAATAATATATAATAAATTATGTATTAGCAACCTAATTTTTTAATTTCCAAGATACAAGGAGAAGTGTGTAATATTAACCTGAGCATGCCATTTCTTCATGCTTTTTGGTACCTTTAGAATGGTGCCTGCCATTCTTCTTTTCATTTATACCAACATTTACAAGACTTCAGAGTGCTCGATCGTAAGAGTAAATGTAAATCAGAGTTACTGGTAGCAGTTAAAGAATATCTGCCTATAAATTGTTCTGTTTTGTTTTTCAGCATCAGGAGTTCAGTTTTCTCCTTAAGGAAAGGGTATGCCCTCTTGTTATAAAGCTCTTCTCTCCAAATATCAAATTCAGGCAAGGTTCCAGCACATCATCTTCCCCAGCACCAGTGGAAAAACCATACTTCCCCATCTGTATGCGTTTGCTGAGAGTAGTTTCTGTTTTGATTAAGCAGTTTTACAGTTTGCTGGTAAGAATATGTTCAAATTTTCTTTATGCAATTCTGGTTTTCTATGTATATGCCAGTCCTGTGATCAGTAATAGTATTAATTAATTCTTGGGAACTGTTGATGTATACTGACGGAAGAAAAGTCTAAATATTATTTTCCTTTTATATATATTTGTTTTCCTGTATTCTACATGTACGATTTTATTAAACATGGGCTTGTATAAATTCTCAGAGTGGATTAGCTGTTGTCTTTTCTGTACTTGACTGCTTTTCAGTTAAGGTTTTGGAAACTTTTTGATCTTCTTATGTTGTTTACTTGGCTTTAGATAATGTTGATTGCTGTACCTTGTTAATAACTGCTAAGAGGCTTTTGACTTGTGTTGCTAAAGCTGTTGACAGAATGTACATAAAGAAACACACGTTCACTTGTTCTTACCTCCCAAATTTTAGATATTTGCTAGAAAAGATTTTTTCATTTGTTTACTGTAGCAGATGTAAGAACTTACTGCAACATTTCTGAGGAATTTAACTCCTTCAATACAATTACATAGGTAGTGTTAGCTTGCCAAAAATACTGTGATTATTAGGTATGTTTTTTATATAATTTTGAGTAAGTGCTTGTTGAAGGGGTTTTTAGATTCTGTGCAAAACTTGCTGGGATAGGGCTCCTTAGATGAAACAGTGTTTTTGGAGAAAATATTTTGTAGGAGACTTTTAATTTAACGGCTATAAACTATATCTTCTAGGTAACAGAATGTGAAATCTTTCTGTCATTGCTGGTTAAGTTTCTGGATGCAGACAAACCACAGTGGCTAAGAGCTGTTGCAGTAGAATCTATTCACAGGCTTTGTGTGCAGCCTCAGCTATTAAGGTATTAAATATATTTGAGTTTCACTTTTACATTACATAAAATTTAAGAAATCTTTTTTTTTTTTGCTTTGGTGAAAAATGATTCCTAAAACATAATAAATATGTAGAAACTTAAATGCAAGAAACTCTTCAAGATAATTCTTTATAAAGCATTAGGCAATAATAATGCTTATTATCCAGGAAGTGCTGAATTACAGTTACTTGAATATTCCAAACCCTTTCTGTCTTACCTGTGTCAAAGGAGCATTTACTTAAAACCAAAGTTTATTACTCACTTAAATATTTGCAGTTGAAATGTGCTTTTAGGCTACAGCTCGGGTGCAAATTGCTGTAATATGCTTTTAGGCTCTAATTTGTCAAATACTTACTATATTTTATGAAATACCTTCCAGGTCCTTTTGTCAATCATATGATATGAAGCAACATTCCACTAAAGTTTTTCGTGATATTGTGAATGCACTGGGGTCCTTCATCCAGTCACTGTTTCTTGTACCAAGCACAGGGAACGCATCAGCAACACCAAACCAGACTGGTAAAGCCTTGTCCTTAATTTTGCAGCATTTTATTGTAACGATAAATTCTGATTTGATTCAGTACATACACTTGACTTAATACAGTTCTGTACTTCTGTGTTCTATGGTGAAAAGCTAGCTTGAGATAAACTAGTGTTTTTAGGTCTGGTACAAGGGGTGATTTTATCTACCTGTATTGTGGGGAAGATGTAGCCCCCAGTCAGCAGAGCAGTGCTGCTGCATTTGTATGTGCTTCTACAGCAGTCGAGCTCCTTGGTTCACAACTGGAGGGAAATTCTGTGGAAATTATTTCCAATTTCTGACTATAACAGATTTGTCTGATTTTTGTCTCCTTGTACGGGGATGTCATTTATGACAGTGTGCAGTTGAAGCAGTAAGACACTGTCTGTTTGCTTCCTCCTGGGAGGCAGTAGCTAATTCTTCTGGATGTTCAGGGGCAAAACTGGACTGAGGAAGCCAAGAGGTAGAAAGAAACATCTGTGTTTTACAGATACTTCCTTTTTCTGTAAGCTGGAAACAGTCACTTACTGAAACTAAACTTGACTGCCTCTTTGCAGCCAGGGTTTTGGCATTTCACTAGGTATACTTTATTTCTGTAAGAAGAAATGGTCTTCCTGTTAATGTCTTTGCAGGTGTTTCTGTCCAGGGTAAGGCTTTCTGCTGCTTCCCATGGTTCTGGAAGCAGAGGCCCCAGCAACAAACAACATAAAAATAATTTCTAAGGTGTCCTTTGACATGCCTTCTTAAAAGAGATAATAAACAGATAATCAAAGCATATTTTTTCTCTCATATCTACTATTAAACTAATAAACATTAAAAAGTGTGCTTTTAGATTCACACCTTTCAGAGTTTACTCATGAAATCTGAATTCCCAGTTGGTGTTAGTGTTTCTAACGTAAAGAAATTTGTATCAGTAGCTGTAGTTCAGGAGCTGTCAGTATGAAAGCTGATAGAGCACTTCTATTAGCAGTAGTTGTGGGTCAGTTCTATCCACTTAAGGTAAATCAGAAAAGCACTTTTAGTCATGTAACATGCACATATAAGAAGCCATTCTAAAATACTTGTTTTCCTGCAAATTTATATTTTGCCTCAGTGTGAACCAGCGTACCCTTAGTGCTCTCACTATTTCTCTGGCTTACTGTACCAGTTTTTTTCCTTTAACTTTTCACTACTTCTTTCTGCCTGAGTGTTTCTCATGTCTCTTTCTCACGCAATTCTCTTTCTGCCTCTTTTCCTCTTATGACCATGTCTAACACGCAAAGAGCAGATCAGTGCAACCTAGTTTTCAAACGGAATCTTCTGATTATAACAATGGTTCTGTAGTAGCAGGCTGTCTTATACATGGATAGTTGTTTTCTGAGCCTCAGTTTTGCAACAAGGTATCTGTTTCATAGGAGTTTCATTTAACTAATTTTTGCATCCAGTTTTTATTATACTGGTGTAATGTAAGCCTTTTTACCACTTTAAGGTTGTTGATGTAAAAACAGTTGTGACCGACTGCTCAGTGGGATCACAGAAGATGGCACCAGTGTAACTGTGTGTGTTAGTGGCAGCAATTGGTTAACTGTTTGTGTTTAGCGGTATGATTTTGTTAGAATCACAGAATCATTAAAGTTGGAAGAGACTTCTCATCAAGTCCAACCATCAACCCAACACCACCATGTCCTGAAGTGCCATATTTACACATTTTTTGAACACCTTCAGCTATGGTGACTCCACCACCTCCCTTGGCGACCTGTTCCAATGCTTGACCACTCTTTCAGTAAAGATTTTTTTCCTAATGACCAGTTTAACCCTCCCCTGGTGCAACTTGAGGCCATTTCCTCTTGTTCTATCACTAGTTATTTGGGAGAAGAGACCCACACCCACTTCACTACAACCTCCTTTCAGGCAGTTGTAGAGAGTGAAAAGGTCTTCCTTCAGCCTCCTCTTGTCCAGACTAAACAATCCCAGCTCCCTCAGCTACTCCTCACAGGACTTGTGCTCTAGGCCCTTCACCAGTTTCATTGCTCTTCTCTGAACATGCTCCAGTGCCTGAATGTCCTTCTTGTAGCAAGAGGCCCAAAACTGAACACAGTATTCAAGGTGTGGCCTCACCAGTGCTGAGAACAGGGGAAGGATCACTTCCCTACTCCTGCTGGCCACACTGTTCCTGATACAAGCCAGGATGCTGTTGGCCTTCCTGGCCACCTGGGCACACTGCTCATGTTCAGCTGCCTGTCAGCCAGCACCCCTAGGTCCTTTTCTGCCTGGCAGCTTTCCAGCCACTTGTTATTTCAATCTGTTTAGCTTTACTGTGTTAAAGTGTATAAGTAGGCTTCTGTGTGTACTCATATTGCCAAAATTAGTATTTTAGTCTCTCTACATATTAAAAGTGAGCAGACCAAAATGGGAGTCGTTACACCGATGTATTGGGTGATGTGAGTTGCCTTCTTGGGGACTCTGCCCTTCTCTCCCCGTTGTCTGTGCAGAGTCTGAACTTGTCGTGCCTACTCCAAGTGTAGATGACCTATATATAGAAAGTGTATGTGTACAGAATTCCTTGTCCTTTTATCTGCTTTTTTTGGCTTAAATTGGAACCAAAATTTATTCCCTTCTAGCTGTTGGTTGGCATGTTGTCAGCTCTTCCCTGATGTGCTTTGTTTTCTTCTACCTTGGCATGGAACAGAGTCAAACATTGCAGTTCTTAGAGTTTCTTCTTTGTGGCTCTTGCATTTAAAGCTTGTGAAGATCATTCTTAGAATGGTTAACCTCTCCTTCCTACTACTGAGTTTTAGATGCAACTGTTCAAATAATCCTTCCCTTTTAAATATCTGTCTGACTCTTCATTGGAATATATATATCGTTTTGCCGAGGCCGTATATATTTAGTTTGTTCACAAAATGTTGCGAATGCTGCTATAGCTCTCACGGAAACATTTTATTCTGACTGAAAATAATGCAGTTGGCATCAATCGACTGTGCCTTTTAAACTACTTTGCACATAAGTTCGTGTTTTAGACAGCAGAGGGAGCTCAAAAGTAGTTTTTTGTGTTGGTGGTGGTTTTTATTATCGGGCAGGGTGCCTTAGATTAATCCATCTATCTCAACTTAAAAATTAAATATAGAAAAAGGATGTTTGCTGATCACTAAAATTAGATTGCTTAACTTTGTCACTTTGTTTTTCTGAACAGGAAGCAATGCATCGGGGAATACTGGCTCGGCACAAACTAACCCTGGAGTGCTTGGAATGGGAGGAGGTGCAACTGTGTTACCTGCTTTTGAGTACAGAGGCACTTGGATACCTATCCTGAATGTAACAGTACAAGGCAGCGCTAAAGCTACCTAGTAAGTACTTCTATCTTTTTGAAGATCTTTATCTATATAGCTATATATCTATATCTGTAAAACAAATATTTCTACTTTCAACTTGACAGTTAAGGATTTTTTTTTAAATTAGTGAATATTGAGGTCTTCATTTCACTTGTGTTAAGGTATACTATGGATTTTCTTGTCTGTGCCATGAGGTGTTCTGATTTCTTGCTTTTTTTGTCCGAATGTTCTGGATTCTGATCCAAATAGCCCCTATGGCTTTAGCATCTGTTGGATATTTTTTTTTCTACCATACTGTTGCTATATTAGCTCTTCACTTTTAGTCCTCACTACAGTATATAATTCTTCTAGAATATCTTTTGCTGGATTGTGTAATGGCAAACATTGGGGCCATTAAGCAAATAGGATATCAATGGGAGTGAAAACCCGCTTTTTTATACTAGCTTTACTGTATTTACAGTTTTTACTGAACAGGCTATTGTGGTAGATATTGGCCAGGTTGTCATTCCAAACAAAATATTGGTGTATATACAAAGGTTAGACTGTGAATGCTTCTTAGAATGACCAATTATTCTGTCATGACTTTGTATAATGGAGAATTGTGTTCTGATAAAATTGTGTGATAAAATTTAGAGCTATGAATACTACTTTTGTTTCAAAATAGTGGAAGTTTCTTCATGTCAATTATGACCACTGAGGGTCAATCTCTTCCATACTGCAAGTTATTTCTACAGCCCATGAAATTTTGACATACTAATACTCAGTGAAATTAGCAAATAAAAAAGTACTGAGATGTAGGCTAAGGTAAAAACTCCTTTATCTGCCTTTCAGATGCAGAAGGACAAATTCATCCTCAGATTTCAATAGTTTAATGTGCATGTGGGTTTTGTTGGTTTTGGGGTTTTTTTTGGTGTGTGTGGTGGTGGTGATGTTTTTGGTTTTTGTTATTTTTGCTTTTTTTCCTCCAGCAGTGGCCATGAATGTTATTTTAGGTTCCCTGACTGTTCTCAGGAAATGCAAATTTGTAACGAAAGTGGATGAAAGCGAGTTCATGCTTTGGCCAGCTACTACAACCTCCTGCTTTTCTTTTTTTTTTTCTTACTTTCTGTTCTTAATTGGCTTAAGAACATTGCAGCCACCATCGTAGTCTCCTGTGCAGCAGTGAATTTGCTCGTGTCTTACCTTTGCATCCCTCTGTCGACTCTATGATGCCCTCTGAGTAATTTTTGCATTCATTTTTTCTTCTGTATAAGATTACAGAATTGTTGCTAGCGTGTCTTCTCAGTAGTTTTTCTCCTATCTTGTACTTCTTGTCTGAAATCCCTGCATGTAAGGAGGTAGATAACTGTAGCTATAGATTTGGGTCATATCCTAGCATTGATTCTCTCCTACTGCTGCAATTAGATTTTCATACAATGGCCACATCTTACACTTTTACACAGTGACTTAATTAGGGATAAAAATTGTGAACAGAGCTAGCAGAGGTCTTTTTGCCAGTGTAGGCTTGTGTCTTCCCAGATCATTATGCCTTGTCTTCCTCTTGACATGAGGAAGTAAGGGTTTAAAGACTGTTCAAGATCTTTCATGGCCATTCCCATGTAACTGTAACATGTATTCAGGAGTTTGCTTTCCCGTCTTTGAAAGTAAGAGTACATGACCTGTACCTCACAGGTACATTGTAACTATAAAACTCATTAATAATTCTAATTAGAGCCATACATATATATACACATATGTATACACACTTATTTGTAGATAGAGGGTGAAATACTGACCATGTGATTTACCGATACTGCCTATGCCCCCAGATATTTAAGGCAGCCATCTTCAGGAAATTAGAGGTAGTAACTAAAGTATTACATGTTTGGGAGAAGGAGAATCCTTTGCGCAGGACAGAGTGGTGACACTGCAGTACAAAAGCATCTTTGGTATATTGTAGCTGGAATGCCTAGCCTTTTTAAACGTAGTTTGTAGAGCAAATGATGAAGTAGTGGTTGTTGGGAGTAGCAGGTAGTTTTTGTAATAGACTGTCTCTCCTTGTGTAGCCACTGCTGCTGTGACAGCTTCAATCTGTTCCCTGTTGGATTTGTAACTCAGCAGTTCTTTATGTGCTTTTAAGGTAAAATACGACGAAAAGTGGCAACAAGGGTGCAGTTCCAGCATAGTAATGTTTTAATTGCATGATTTTAATTTTTTAATAGAGAGCAGTGTAGGGGAAAGGGACCTGGGGGTCCTGGTGGACAGCAGGATGACCATGAGCCAGCACTGTGCCCTTGTGGCCAAGAAGGCCAATGGCATCCTGGGGTGTATCAGGAGGGGGGTGGTTAGTAGGTCGAGAGAGGTTCTCCTCCCCCTCTACTCTGCCCTGGTGAGACCGCATCTGGAATATTGTGTCCAGTTCCGGGCCCCTCAGTTCAAGAAGGACAGGGAACTGCTGGAGAGAGTCCAGCGTAGGGCTACAAAGATGATCAAGGGAGTGGAGCATCTCCCTTATGAGGAGCGGCTGAGGGAGCTGGGTCTCTTTAGTTTGCAGAAGAGGAGGCTGAGGGGAGACCTCATTCATGTTTATAAATATTTAAAGGGTGAGTGTCACGAGGATGGAGCCAGGCTCTTCTCGGTGACAAACAATGATAGGACAAGGGGTAATGGGCACAAGCTGGAACACAGGAGGTTCCACTTAAATTTGAGAAGAAACTTCTTCTCAGTGAGGGTGACAGAGCACTGGACCAGGCTGCCCAGAGAGGTTGTGGAGTCTCCTTCTCTGGAGACATTCAAAACCCGCCTGGACGCCTTCCTGTGCAACCTCATCTAGGTGTTCCTGCTCCGGCAGGGGGATTGGACTAGATGATCTTTTGAGGTCCCTTCCAATCCCTAACGTTCTGTGATTCTGTGATTTTTAGCAGTGAAGCATGTAGACATTTCCTCTTTGTATAAATAACCTCCATTGTTTCCATATGCTTGTAGGTGATGGATATTCTGGTCATACGGAGTCAAAGATAATGATAATGGAATATCTGACTTCTCGATTTGTTATAATTATATTCACACTATCATAACTTTCTGACCTATTTCTCTGTTGCTTCTATGTTCTTGTGTTCTTCTGAATAGGTTCTGTTGCAGTGCCTTTAAGTTAAATAATAATAAAAAAAGAACAATTCATTCAGTGATGCTTGCTTACATGCGTTAATTTTCTAAAATATTTATTTGCTGATCTAAATACTTTACTCAGGGCTTGTACCCTTTCATTTACTGTTTTATTTGGTGACTCATTTACTCTTTTACTTAATGACTTAATTAGTCAAGAAGTTTATTTTCTTGAGTTGTGATAAATCTTGAAGGATGGTATCTGAGGCCTGTTTGTACTTAACATTCATTTGGAATCTTGTTTTTTATTACTGTTCTTAATCATAGTGATACTGTTATACACTTAATTGTCATGCTTTCATTTTTTCAGTTTGGAAATGCTGGACAAAGTAGAGCCACCTACGATTCCTGAAGGCTATGCCATGTCAGTGGCGTTTCACTGTTTACTGGATCTTGTCCGTGGTATCACGACCATGATTGAAGGAGAGCTGGGAGAGGCAGAAACTCTCACTCAAACCACAACAGAGACAACTTCATTACCTGCACAGCCTTCAGAGCAGCAAGACTTGCAGTCTGTATCTGACCAATCAGAGAAAGAACTAGGTATATAAAATACAGCAGTTTTACATAAAGCAGGATTGAAATAGTTCATGCTTTGTTGCTTAAACTTACTGTTTCTAAATTGAATATAAAAACTTTTAATGAAGTGAGGGTTTGAGTTTGGTGGTTTGGTTTTTTAACTTGTTTTTTTGGTTTTGTTTTGTTGTTGTTTTTTTGGTAGCGGAACAGCAGCAGTCTCTAAAAGAATACTTGATGTATTACTTCTGTCGTATACCACCTTATCCATAGACTTCTTACAGAGTATTAATACTGGTTTACATGTATGTATGCGGGATGTGAGGGAGACATAACAGGCATTCTGTTTCCCAGGACTACTCTTCTGCCTTCCTGTGTCCTTAATTTTGCTTAACACTTAAAGACCACCTCTGAGAGAAATGTGGTGGTTACAACTGCATTAAAAGAAAAATGTATTTCTAGTAACAAGGCAAAAAGATGTGTTTTGTAATGGATAGATTTTAAATAAGGTGGAAGTAGAGAAGAACTTCTTTAAAAACAGACGTAATAGGAACTGAGGTTTGTATTTGCATGGCATATGAGGAGTCTGTATATGTACACAGAGAGAGACTTGGCTCACAGGAGTGATTTTTGGCTTGTGCAGGAGGAAGCAGAGCCTGTAGAGCTGAGGCTTTTGCCGGGGCAGCCAGGCGGCGGGGAGAGGAGCCCCGCCCGCGGCCCCGGGAGTGCGGAGCTCTCCGTGGTGCTGCAGGCAACTGCGCCTGGGCCGGTGGCGTGGTAGAGGGAGCGAGGTGTGGGAATTATACGGACAGGTTGTACCTCTGGTAGACCTATTTTTTTTCCTATTCAGTTAAAGAAATGAAAAAATATTGGAGAATTATAAATGCCAGGGAAGAGTATTTTCCTTCACTGTAAAATTTCAGTGAGTTTCTTGTGCCACATTTATGCCATTTTGAATGTTTCTTTTTACAGACAAAGGTTATGAATAGCTATATATGACTTTGCAAGACTTTGTTTTTTGGGGGACGATGTAATTTAGAATAAGCATTGCCTTGGTGACATTTTTTACTTTAGCAGTGTTACTTTAAATGCTACTGTTTAAATGGTACTGGTGTGAGTGTGTTTGTGTATACACATATATATGTCTCTGTAAACATCTAAAAACACTTTCAGAAATTATGTAGAAATAATTTTATGTGTGCTATAATTGAAAGTTATTAAGTAAAATATTGTGTTTCTGACATAAACAAGTATATGTATTTCTTTGAAGTTAGCAGAGCTGTCTGGGAAGAAATGGTGAATGCTTGTTGGTGTGGTCTTCTGGCTGCTTTATCCCTCCTACTTGATGCAAGGTATTTGGTCTTTAATTTCTCTTGTTTTTTCAAAGATGACACTCCCAGCTATATTTTGAACTGGCTTTTGATACTGATCAAATTGACACTTGTATGAGCGCACTGTTCATGGCACCTGAGCAGACAGGTTTGTGGGTTAGTGATGGCTAGACTGAGTGAGGCATCTGTTAAGAGTAAATGACGCAGAAGTCTAGCATCTACCTTTATTGTCTTTCAATACAGAACAATTAATTACATTTTCAAAACTTTTTAGACTATATATTTTTATTCCTTTTTACTTTGACTGAATGTTTCAACACTTTGAAGTGATTCTACCCATGTCCTGATTAATGTTGATGAGAGGGTAAATAATGTCTCAGTATTTGTTAGTACTGTGCAGTCTTTGAAGTGGAAAAGCTGTTTACTGTGTAATAACTTCGGGAACTTGTCTCTTTCAAAGAGCCTTTTGTTATCAAACACCATTTTCTGAAGTTAGTGTTAAATACCTCCTCATAGTCCCCTTTGCCAAGTCATTCAGAACTAAAGACCAATTTTATAGGAAATGGTTCTGAAGAATTTTGTTGATTGGTTATGCTTGCTTTTCAGTGTTTACAGTGTTGACACGTTTAAATTATATGTTCTCATTGCTGTCCGTTTTGATTAGCTGCCTGCTTCTGTGCTGTGGATTAATTCTTACTAAACGATGTGTGCTCTTTCAGCACTGACGAAGCTGCCACTGAAAACATTCTAAAAGCAGAATTGACCATGGCTGCACTTTGTGGAAGACTGGCTCTTGTAACATCAAGAGATGCCTTTATAACTGCAATTTGCAAAGGATCCTTGCCTCCTCACTATGCCCTTACTGTATTAAACAGCACAACTGCAGCTCTGTCCAGCAAATGTAAGTATGTAGGTTTTCCTTAATTATGTTTCCACGTGCTGTCCTCTATCCCAGATTTTCTCAGGATGTGATTGCAAAGATATGCAACTGTAGTATTTGGCTATACTGAATTAGATTAGAATCCTCAGACAGGGTCAAGACCGCCTGCTCTCCAGAACTGCTGGGTGTCATTCTACTCGGCCTCAAACTTCCTGAATGCTTAGCATATGTCAGAAGTTGATATTCTAAAGAGATCTGTCTGTCACCTTATACATCTGTTAGGATATGTAATGAAGGTATTCAAGTTCTGAAAAGGTCTCTGGGCAACTCAGATACTTCAGAGAGTTGGCTAGACCATCCTGCATTTGTGGTGTACTACAGTGTAGTAGTAATACTAGATTGTAAGTCTGGGAAGCAGCGTGCATGACTGAGCTATGTGAATCTCTATTGGAAAAAAAGCAGTGAAATTAAATTCTTACTTAAATTATTTTGTATAGGTAACTCTTACAGGCGAGTTATAAAATGGGCATCCTGAAGTCTGGTATTGGAAAAACACCATGACATAGTATTTATGACACTTTCATTTTCTACTACAATGGTAGCACACAGTGATAACATTTACACACAATTACCACAGATAACTGAGTTGAGACGTAGTCTAATGCTCATATCTTAGTGCAAATATTTCACTCGTGACATAAAGTGTATTAATGTATTGCAAGCAATACCTAATATTGCTTGAGAGGGAGTAATTAACTGATTCCTTTAACTCTGTAAGGCAATGACACGATAATCTAAGTATAACTCAAGGTCTCAAAGTGAAATACCTTAAAGGTAACACTGTGGAAAAAATTCACTGGAGTGCGCTTGCCAGGAGGTGGTTGTTACAAGAAGTAAGTATTGAATTTTAAATGTAGATTTTTTTTTTCCTTTTTCAATTTTCCTCTAGCATATTCCATTCAGGGGCAGAATGTTCAAATGATCAGTCCCTCAAGCGAGTCTCATCAGCAGGTTGTAGCAGTAGGACAACCCTTAGCTCTTCAGCCACAGGGTACAGTAATGGTAAGTACAGCTTGTTAGCAATCTCATCCTGCTTAACTGCTTCTTTCTGCATCTCAATGTCTCTCAAAAATAGTCAACAGATAACCATTTGTAAAAATGCTGTTTATCTGAAATATTATCCTAAGCTTTTAATTTCGAATAGCCCTGGACAGCAAAGTTCTGTAACAGTAAAGAAGACTTACTCTTGTTTTTTATCTGAATCTTAGCTCAGCAGCTTCCAGTCATTCTGTCTGAAAAACCCTAGGTCTGTTATGTGCCTGTGTGTGAAAGTTCCCTTATATGTTGTTTTTTTTTTAAGATAGACTCTGATTTTGTGGAGAAGATGCACTTAAAGCTGGAGTAGTTGAACTTATGTCTTTGATAATAATGTGAAACTGGGAGGAGAGGGCTGTATTCAACCCCAGCAAAATAAGACTAAGAAAAGGAGGAGAGATACTGAACTATTACTCTAAAAAAAGATAACTTTGCGCTAGTGCAAACAAAATGTAATTTACAAGCTATTTAGTGAAAAATTGCAAGTTTCTTAGAAATACTATTATTGTAGAGCAATAAAAATTGTGGTCATTTTCTGGTGTTTTGTTTGGTTTTTTTTTAGCTGACTTCAAAAAATATCCAGTGTATGAGGACATTACTCAACTTAGCTCACTGCCATGGAGCCGTTCTTGGTACATCGTGGCAACTTGTCTTGGCTACTCTTCAGGTATAATAGGAAGTATTTGTGCCTTGCTTTTTTGCTATAATTTGGTTTTGAGTTTTTATGTGAGCAATAGAAGAAGTTTTTATTCTACTCATAGTGTATTTTGAATTGCCTTGAGTAAGTACTGTAGCGTTTCTCTTGAATTTTGTTTGGCTGGAAGGCTGCTGGCTAGCTCCAGTACATTAGTTTTCCTCTCTTCCTGAAAAGGCTTTTCTGCTGAAAATGATCCTTTTGTATTTCAGCATCTTGTGTGGATTCTGGGACTGAAGCCTGGTGTTGGGGGTGCATTGAAACCTGGAAGAGCTGTAGAAGGGCCCAGCACAGTAAGCATGATTGTTCCTTTTACAGTTAATAATTGGATCATTAAGTTTGGAAAAGACCTCTAAGGTCATCAAGTCTAACCATCAGCCCAGCAGCACCATGCTCACTGTGTCTTGCTGAACACAGCACTGTGTGGCACAGTGATTGTGTGCACTGTGTGCATTATAGTGATTATGCAGTATTTTTTATTGCGATCTATAAGACACATTCTTGTCTCTTTCAAGGTTCTGACTACAGCAGTTATGACTGATCTGCCAGTTATATCCAACATACTTTCAAGGCTTTTTGAAAGCTCACAGTAAGAAACCTTATCTTATAATTAAAATAATGTATGTATATCAACCTTGGCAGTGTTTTGATAGCTGTTATTTTTCAGGTACCTTGATGATGTGTCTTTACATCACTTAATAAACGCCCTTTGCTCTTTGTCTCTGGAAGCCATGGATATGGCCTATGGAAACAATAAGGTATAAAAAGCGATCTGTATTTTCTTTTTACATGTTTTTGTGAAACGGGCAAAAGACTTGCACATTTATCCTTTAAGCTAACTACTTCTAATATTAAGACAATAATACATTTGATAGAGTAGAAAATAAATTCTAGACCAGAGAATGTTTTGTTTATAATGGTTTATACGTTTACTAAATTCTCTGAACATTCTCATTGTGTTCCTGCTATGTTTTTTGTTAACTAAGGAATGTGATGGGTTTCCATTAATCAGATAGTGGGTGGATAAAACTTTTAAAAGCCTTTGTAATTTCAGAGGTTAGCGATTCTGAATAGCACAGTATGTGATGTGCTTATTTTCATTTCAATTTTCTTTTATAATATACTTCAGAAAAAGCCTGACAGTTTATATATAGAAAAAGCCCTGATAATTCATATTTACTCAGGAAAATTATAATATTCCTGCCAGCTTCAGTAAACAACCTTTAGCCCAGAAAGGTTAAAGACTCTGTGATTGGTAAGATTGAGTATATATTCTCCTAGTCATACTCTAATCCCAGAGGAGTTTCTGAAAGTTTTGCCTTAATCTAGTACACTAGAGATAAGGGTGACAGAAAATATGCTTTATGATATTTGACAATTACAGCAACAGAGAATGAATGAAAATAAGCAAATTTTGTGTTTAAAATAACTTGAAAAATGAGAATAAAACTGCAGCAGAAATGGGAACATAGAATAATTCCAGAGCAAGTCATTTTAACTATATGTTGATTTTAAAAGAAAAAAAATTAAAAGAAGCTTATCATAAATATTTGCATATGAATTTGATGAATGGAAAACTTATCCTATTCCTGCAGGGTGTTTGTGAAGCCAATAGAAGATAAAGCATAAGGGGATTCTTAAATGAAATATTCTATATTGTTTTGTTCATATATAAGATGGGAAAAAGGCTCTTTTGTTAGTAAAATCTATTATAAAACTAGTTGGAGGAGGACTATATTAAAATGAGAGTTTGGAAAGAAATATCAGTGCTCTGTTTATTGTCAAACCTTGAGAAAACTACATGAAAAATTGTGGAAGTATTCCTCATGGTGTGCTGTTGCTACCCCCTTGTGGCTTCTCGTGCAGTACTGCAGATGCTGTGGATACTTTCCAGGCATGGCTACCTGAGCTGTTGTGACAGCGTTCACAGGTTACAAAACAGAGTACGTCAGTGAAATTAATTGAACCTTAATTTAATTATAATGCAGCAAAAGGATATGACATTATCTGAGTTACCTCAAAGTCATGTGTTCAAATTCCATTTTATTAAGGAACCATCACTTTTTGCTGTTGCTAAATTACTGGAGACAGGACTAGTTAACATGCACAGGATTGAGATTCTTTGGAGACCTCTGACCGGTCATCTTCTGGAGGTAACTTAACTGCTTTTATAAGTTGTGATAGAAATTAGTTTGTATTAATAAAGATATCATGGCAATGTATTCCTAAAGTTAAATTTAAAAAAATAAATTGTATTTAAGTGATTTTGTTTATGCACTTTGCTTTTGCAAACTGAATTTAAAAGTGAATCAGTATATTTAAATTCCATTATTTTAATATCTCTTATTGATTTTGTCTTGATGGGGCAGTCAGTCTTTTTATATAGTTTTAAGCACAGCAATGTTTAAAATTATCAACTACTGAAAAAAATATCAACTATGACTAGTACTGTATACTTCCTGTAAGTGTTATAATTAAGGTAACACAAACAGGTTTCACATTGGATTGACACAGTACAAATATTTATGAAGATTTTAAGATGCATTTTTGTGTCCTTACCAGACAGATTGAAGCCACTAATTATACTAACAAAGGGTTTGTTTGTCTTAAAAATGTTTAAGCAAACATTTTCAATGGTCTTTTTAAGAGAATACGGTACAAACACAAAAATGGGTGTCATAATTCTATTTCAATTTCTAAGTATTTTAACTTCAACATGAAAAATATGTTCCATCAAGGAAAATAAATCTTGAATTTTGAATTTGAAACTAAAAACAGGTGACTAAAACTAAAAATGGGGTTTGCATTGTGGAGAAAATAGGGAGAGGAAAAAAAAAGGGGAAGAGCCTTTTTTCTTCATTTTCCAGAAACTATCAGACACTTCCTTAGAACCAGTGCATTATTTCAAATAGTATTAAGGACTGGTCATCTCTAACCTTATTTATGGAGATAATCTCCACAAAATTTTTAATCTATGAGAAGAAATTTGGATACTTCATGGTTTAAAGACTTAACACAGGCATCTCTTGTCTTTTTTTTCCCCCTCTAAGACAAATAATGTTCACTGTCCAGATCTTGAGACTCTATTTTCATCTACAAAGCAGTCTGTTTCAGTCTGTTATCCACTGTGGGTATTTGCCACTGTTTTGTAGGAAATACAAGGTCTATTTAAATTTCTTTTAAAGTAGTGCCTTATTTCCTTTTAAACCTAAGTTGCTGGGGTACAATAAGGATGGAGAAAACACCAGCTGCAAATTCAATTAAACACAACCTGAGGGAAGAATTTGTTCCCTGTCTCTGGAACTGATTATCTGGTCAGATTCAGAGCATCATGAAGTAGTTCAAATGCTCTCTTTTTTATATAAGGTAACAAAAATATACATAATTCAGGAAAGTAGCTATTTCTTGTGTGCATTTTCTAACATTAAGATAGGTCTTCTGCATCGTCTTCCTTTTCAGTTTGGCTAGTGGATGATAAGGGAATGGTCCACCAGCCAAAACCATCAGCTTTCCTTGTGATCCTGCATTGGACTTTGGGTCTGGATTCTCACACCATCTGGGCTAGGGCTGGAAGAGTGGGCAGAAATAATTATGTAGAGGTCAATGATACTGTAGACTTATGTTATTTGTTTGAGGGAAATGTATCAGATACGGCAATACAGTTCATACTAGGTGTCTGTGCAATGGTTTTGCACAACGTTTTTAATTTTTCTGTTCTAAAAAAAAGCAGTTAGCAAAATTATTAGATTTAGATGATTGGGAGACAGATATATGAAGACACGCATTTGAAACTCAGGATTGAAAATACTGTTTGCTATTGTTTTGTAAAGTTTTTGAAATAATGGAGTGTATGGCTTATTTTACATTCACTGGGTAGCTGCTTTTTGTATTTGAGAATGTAAAAGAGCAGACACGTTCTGTGGTGGCTACTGCCATGCTTCCTCACTTGATTATGTTAAGCAGTGCACGAAAGATGAAACTTTGAATTTTATGGTAGCTTAAGGCTAAGTTAAACCTGAGAGTTTGGGGCATTCATTGAAGAGTTTTTTGGTGCTTTTTAATCAATCATTCTCTGAATTAGCAGTTAGTTTAATCATTTTGGAAAATGTATTGGCTTGAACTGCTGTCATTTTCATTATGTTTCCTTCTGTGTCTTTCACTGCTTCCTATTGCTTCCTTATTCAGAAGGTATGTCTGCCCAAAAGATACACTTCTTTTTACTATTAAACCTAATTTTATAATCTAGAGATACTGTTTAAAAATACAATATTGTTTGTAAATTCTAATTTAATTAAAATAACCATTTTAATATCTTACATTTATTCAAATCTTGGTTAAATAAAAGTCACTTTAAACAAAATATTGCTGTGTTTTCAGGTCTGTCAGCATCCAAACTCCAGAATGAGAGAATGGGGAGCAGAAGCTTTAACTTCTCTCATTAAAGCAGGGCTGACATTCAGCCATGATCCTCCATTATCTCAGAATCAGGTAAACTAAGTTTAAGAGCAGTTGCTTTCCTCCTTTTCTGGAACTCAAAATGAACATGAAATCAAAATTTTCCCTAGAGGAGGTTTTCCACAGTTCAATGAATAGGAGGCATTCATAAAGCAACTTTACTGTTGAGTTTATAAAGCCTACAGCTATAACATTCAGATGCAACTATTGAGAATCACCTCATGCATTCTAATGAACCGCCCTCCTTCCTTGCTCAAATGCATAACAGAGGGTGGTGGTGCTTGCATGTTATGTCCATTTGTTAGAACAAATTATGGATCACCCTCATGAGTGTAAAACAATTCCAGAATGTTTAGAGGTATGCACGTGATGTGGTGGCAGGTGAGAAATAAATTGCCTAACCTTCTAAATCACAGCTATTCAGTCCATTATTAATAAAACATTCTAGTATTTTTGCTGAGGTTCAGTGAATAGTTTTTTCCAGGTCTCTTTAGTAGGAAGCTGAGTATAACCCTCCTGGGTGAGTGTAAAGGAGCATGATGGTTTTTATGCAACTATGTACAGTATGTTCTAGCAGCTTCATGAGGGACCTGGAGAACAGGCAGGGGGAAAAAATCTCCTGCTGAGATCCTTTATCAACAGTGTTTTAGAAAGGCCAGTCGGACACTTAATTAAGCATTTAATGAATGAGTTACTGAATTTATATAATGAATCTTCAGTTTGTACTGTATATTTTCACTTATACATAAAAATAATTAAGGATCAGTTATATTTTAGCATCCTTCATATGCTTTGTTGTTTACTTTTAGAGACTGCAGTTGCTTTTATTGAATCCACTAAAAGAACTGTCAAACATTAGTCATCCTGATATCAGGATCAAGCAGTTGGAATGTGTGCTACAGATTTTGCAGAGTCAGGGTGACAGCTTAGGACCGGGTTGGCCACTGGTGCTTGGAGTCATGGGGGCAATCCGAAGCGATCAGGGGTAAGTGGTGGAAATAAAATTTTAGAATCACGTAAGATAAGAACAGTAGAAAGGAATTCTGCTTTTATTTTCTTACTTCAATAACTACTTTGATAATAGCCATAATTTTCATTCTCATTTTCAGCTTATAAAAAATTTTACTTAACGAAAATACAGTTTTTTCATTTTTCCAGTAGCATGCTTCTACTTTACTGCAGTATACATTTTCTTAGAGAATTATTAGTTACACCATTATTGTCCATGTGCAATTTCTTGTGCATTCCTCTGGCTTCCATCTTATGTTGGCTGTTATGGTACAGTGGAAATGGCCCACCTATGATTTTAATCTTGAATTATTGAAAAAATTATTATTTTATTTAGGATTCTGAGAAATACATAACTGACATCTAAATCCTGGTTTTGTTTTTTGGTTGGTTTTTTTTTTCCTGGAATATATATTCTGAAGGACACTAAGTTGCTGTATTACAAACCTTTGGATTTTTTTATTTTGTACATTAAACTTTAGGCCATAAAAATATCCCTATAGTGACATTCAAATGCAGCTTTCCTGTTTTTTATTATCTTCACTGCACTGCTCCTTCTGATCCCTTCATTTTGTCTCTCACAAAACAAGGTTTTTAGTTAAAGATGACCTTCCTGCTTGTGAGAGCTCCTGCTCATAAACCTTTTCCATACTACATTTTTACTCTGTTTGTATTCAGAATTAAATTCTGAAAGCAAATTATTTATTAAAGATGTATTTAATGGCAGATATTTTGAAAAGATTTTGTCTAATATAGTATTATAGTAATATAGTATTGCAGCAAGTAAGACTACAATTACATTAGCATATATCTTTACTAATAAATAAAAATACATTTTGCCCACCTGTTTGGTATGCTTTAAGTAATTTGTAACTGCTGATACAAGAAATTGTTCAGAAGAGTTTGCTTTTTGGGAGATTATAATGCTTAAACTTAAACTTTGTTTTGCCTGTTGTGAGGCTTTTAAGAGTGTTTTAGCTCCCATTTGAAGTAGCAAGTCCTAGAACTCCTGAATAGAGAAGTGGACTTTACTGTGTAAAACTAGTTGAGGACCACTGGAGAGTCTAAACTGCAGCTTCATTAGCTAGTTAACATGGACTAAAATTCCTCATCAGAGTCTGAAGGTTCAGTTTAATGTTGTATCTCCAGAAACCTCATTGAAACATTTTAAAAGTTGCAAATTCATCTCAAAAGCATTAAATGTTTTTTTTTAGTGCTTTTATTTAAAAATGCAGTCTCCTGGGCTATTGTATTCAGAACGTTCCTGCACTCTTGAAGAAATTTGAAATGAGTGTGTGTGTGTGTTGTTTTTGTTTTGTTTTTTTAAGAGAGTCCTTAATACGGACTGCGTTCCAGTGTCTTCAGTTGGTTGTGACAGACTTTCTTCCAACAATGCCATGCACTTGTCTACAGATAGTTGTTGAAGTTGCAGGAAGCTTTGGACTTCACAATCAAGAGCTAAATATTAGCTTAACTTCAATTGGTTTGTTGGTGAGTTTTATATTAACCTACAGTGATGCTGCTTCTGGCTTTCTTTTTTTCTTTAATGAAAATTCACCTGTAGTCAATTCTAGAAAAGAAAGCCAAACCCTGTTATTTGAGTTCTTACTGAATCCCATGCCATTATTTGGAATCACATGTAAATTGAGTGAGCACAATTTATCTTTAATCGGCGTGACTCCAGGGTTAATTAAAACAATAGTACTATGTTGTAACTCTGTTCATCACTATCTTATTTTTAAGACATTGTTGCTATTTCTAGTACTTCATGTGTAACTGAGGCCTAGAAGCTAAGGTGAAGAAAAATGCTTTCTGCACCTTGCAGTATTTTATGTGCTGATCTTAGGGAAATTAATATCTTGATGTACTTAACAAGATACTTTTAAATGTGAAAATGAGAACAGTTTATTTCATGATCCTTAGGAGCATTATAATATTTTTATTGTACAACACCATATGTCTTCTTTATTTTGTAGTGGAATATTTCAGATTATTTTTTCCAAAGAGGTGAAATAATTGAAAAGGAGCTAAACAAAGAAGAAGCACTGTTACAAAAACAGGCAGAAGAAAAGGGAGTGATGCTGAATAGACCTTTTCATCCTGCACCACCATTTGACTGTCTGTGGTTATGCCTCTACGCTAAACTTGGAGAACTGTGTGTGGATCCCCGACCTGCAGTCAGAAAGAGTGCTGGCCAGACACTGTTTTCTACTATTGGTGCTCATGGGACTTTATTGCAACATTCAACGTGGCACACAGTAATATGGAAGGTATGGTTCGTAAGCTTCCACTGAAGGTTTTTTTAAAATTTCATTCACCATTTGGTAACCACTGACATGTTTTTTTAATATCTGTTAACTAGTTTATTAAGGCTTTCTAAAGATAAGATATGGTGGCAAAAGTCTGATACAGTCTTTTAGGTTGGGGTTTATTTTCATGTTTTTCTCTGGCCCTTAAGCCTCTTATGAAATGTAATTTTTGTATCTTGACCATTTCTTTCTTACTCAGGAGTTGTATAAAAAGGCTGCTCCCTTCCTGTGAAGATGAATTATTCCTGGTGATGTTTGAGGGCCGTGTGATTGGGTTGATCTGAATGTTAGACCGAGCTTTACTTTGCACTCTGTTTTGGCTCTCTTATTTGAGAGGTTCCATCAAATGCCCTGTTCTAGATCACAGTCATGTTGGTTGTGCCTTATGGACACAGTCAGGCTGTAGTTTAATCTGTTGCCTGTTGTACCTGTGAGGTATCTGAGGTCCATCGGTTTTAGGCTTCTCTTAGTGCTAGCACTGTTCTCAATGGGTTTGATCATGCCATTTCTAACCTTTCTCAAGTGAATGCCAGTTGGCTGATTAGCTCTTAGCTGTTGCAGAGACTGTTTTAAAATAAGGGAATTCTCAAGGTGATACAGTGACAGAAAGGATAATGGAAATAGTAATATTTTTCATTGTTCTACTGTAAATGCAATGATGTTATTTGAAAAGTTGCTTTTTTCCTCTTTCTCTGACTATTACAGGTTTTATTTCACCTGTTGGATAGGGTTCGAGAATCTTCTACCACAGCTGACAAGGAGAAGATTGAATCAGGAGGCGGCAACATTCTCATCCACCATTCAAGGGATACGGCTGAGAAACAGTGGGCTGAGACATGGGTATTAACACTGGCTGGAGTTGCAAGAATATTTAACACTCGGAGATACTTACTGCAGCCTTTAGGTAAAATTTATAGTTTGAAGTTATTGAAAGATACAGTAATAAACTTTATGCTTTTGTATATTTTTTCAGTTAAAATACTGGGCAAGAATCTTAATCTTAGCTTAAAAGTATGTTCTGTTCTGTCTCACCTCAAGTGTGATGAAAATTACGGAGTTTTTAATTCATGCCCCTTAGCATATAAAACTGTAAGTATTAAAATCATCTTTGGTGTCACAGTACTTGAGATTAAATCTCACTAGTAGCAATTCGAGTTGCGAAATAGCTTTAATTTATAGTAGCCTGATAACAATAACAGTTATTCTGTTCTTTTGTTTGTCAGAACATGTTTTTCCTCTTGTCTTTCTAAGGGTATGCAACACTTGCCTAGAACTCTTCCATGGCATCAGTGTGTCAAGTTTAACAATGCTTTTACAGTGTAAAGAGAACTCACTTGTAAAGTCAGTGAAGTATATAGCTTAGAAAAGGAGAAAGGGGATGTTTTAATGAGAAGATTGGACCTGTTACAATGTGAAGGATGTGGAGATTACTCACTATTTCAAGTGATTCTTTTTCTCCCCTTATGATACTCCTCCACTGTTTGCCTTGTACAGAGATGTCAGTTTAAGTTACCATATTGTTGTCCCTAATGCAGCTCACTGGAGTGAGTTCCTCTTTTTTTCTTCTTCCTTAAATTCCTACTTTTCCTGTTTTGAAGTTTTTTATTCCTCTTCTGTAGTTCCTTGGTATCTTTATTTCTTTCTCTTCTTTTTTCTGAGGCTCTGCTTTTTTCCCATTTCATTTTTGCTTTCTCCTTACAGAAATTAGACATCAGTTCATTTACCAAAATATTGTGAAATATAAAATATTACTGCATACAATTGAACAAGATAATATAATTCAGCATTCATGCCTGTTTTGTACAGAAAACTGTTTTGTTTCAGTTTAGGCTTCTAAACGGAGATATTCTGATATAATTTCAAAATAGCTTTAATTTCTAATTTGATTAACTAGAATTATTTAAATACATTACTTTCAAAAATAAAAATGTGATATAAAGAATGTATAGCTTGCAAAGAAAGTTCCGCTTTACATTAATATATCCTTACAACCCCATAGTATGCAATTGATATATTACTAGAAATAGGGTGTGTTTTATTTCATTTCGGTTATTTGTGATACAGATATCGACACATTAACAGCTGTATTGGTCATTTGCAGAAATGTTGTAGATTTTAAACTATATTAAACTTGAGTTAAAACTGAATAAAAAAAGTAAAACAGTAGAGGGCTATTTTAATTATTCAAACCCAATAATTAGTAACATATAAAAATTGAAAGTTAAGGCTAAATTTAATTAAAAACACAAACCCCAACTGAAAAGTGTCTCCACAGTAAAATTATCAGAGCATTTTACAATCAGTTCTTTATAAATGCATTGCAGGACTGTAGATTTGACCCTTAATTTCTTGTGTGTGATTAACACTTTTGAAATCAGCAGGCGTCTGGTATGTATAAGAACCAATCTGTTTCACTGTCCTGAATAAAGAAAACTTATTTTGCTGGTATGGGATGTGGTATGTGATCTTTTTGCTAGCAAATTTGCCATAAACATTGATAGATTGTTTCATTCTTCATATTTGTATGTTTCTCTGTCACATTTATTCTTTCTGGTTACGGTTGAAGTGATTTATTCTGAAAGTCATTCAGGCTATCATTTAACCTTATGAAATTTCTCTGTATTAGAGTGCAAGTGCATGAACAGCCTTTTAGAGGTAGGGTGGATGGGAAGGGGAATAGGAAGCCAGTTCCAAGTTGATTTTTTTTCTCTCTCTTTTTTTTAATAGGAGATTTTTCCCATGCCTGGGATGTTCTTCTTGATCACATCCAATCGGCAGCACTCAGCAAAAATAATGAAGTTTCCTTGGCTGCTCTGAAAAGCTTCCAGGAGATCTTACAAATCGTTTCTCCTGTCCGAGACTCGGAGAAGCCCGACACACCACCTGCCATCAATGTTTCTGTACCCGTGGTGGTAGGGACAACAACTGCCACAAGTCTTGGCAGATCCTTCATGAGAACTGACTCCATAGGAGAAAGAATAGGAAGATACAACGGATCTGAACCCCCTGTAATAACAGATGAGATTGAAGATTTGAATCTTTGGTGGGCAGCCTGGAACAGCTGGTATAGGATTGGTTCAGAAAGTACAAGGCCTCCAATTACTTGTGATAAATTGACTTTCATTCCCAGCCAGCCTTTTCTTACAGCTTTAATTCAAATATTCCCAGCTCTTTACCAACACATCAAAACTGGTTTCAGCATGGATGATCTCCAAAAGCTGGGTGTCATTTTGCACGGTGCTGTTTCAGTTCCAATCAGTTCTGATGCCTCCCCTTTCATCCTCCCATCTTACACTGAAGCAGTTTTGACAAGTTTACAGGAAGCGGTGCTCACAGCTTTAGATGTTTTACAAAAGGTAATAATGTGACTTCACAAGCATGGTGAAAGGTAAACTACACTGTGTCTCAATTCTTCTCAGAACTATAGTGTGGTGACTTAAACGTTAATTTTTAAATTATTTATAATTGCACAATGTACTGTACTGTGTTAGAACAATCAGATCTCCATTCCTGGTGCAACCTGGGTGCTCTGCATTGGAAGGAATGGTGTAATCTTTATCAAATGCACTTTTGCTTGATGGCAGAAACACCTTAATTGTGGTGCTGTGTTTGTAGCCATTTACCTGTCTGTCTAACATTACAGTATTGTACTGTTATGACGGTCTGTACATGGATTTGGGGCAGTAGTCCCCCAAACAGCATTCCTTACGTTGCCCAGGGACTGCCATAAACAAAGTCTAGAAGAGTAGTGATCATGAGAACTTAGAGTTCATGGAAAACATAAAATATAAAAAGCTCTCCAGCAGACCACCCACCTTCTTGCCTCTTGTTATCTGTCATTTAAGCAAAATGTTTCATCTCTGCTTAAGAAATTCTTACTATAGAACTTGCCCTCAAAGAGCACCCTTCCTGCAAGTGAATCTGTAAACGCTGCATTAGGGTGCCTTTTTTCTGGATAGTTAGAAAAAGGAAAAAAGGTATTGCTGCTTTCTTCCTGGAGTTCTAAAATATCTTGCAGAATACAGTGTTCGTTCAGAAAACTTACTCAAGAGAAGCAAAGTTGATAATGAATGAGGTCATCCATTTACATTAAGCACTGCTTTTAGAATAACCAAACCTACTTGGGAAATGCCAAAGTCAAAACGATCCATGTGACCTGACTTCATTCCTCTTGGGCTTTCATTAACCACTTAGCTTAACTATGTGGTCATGCCCTTTTTTTCCCCTTCCCCCCTCTAAGACAGGATCCTGCCCCATTTAGCTCACAGAACAGGTTACCTGCTGAATGAGCAGCAGTTCAGCATCTTGTTTTATTTTTGCTTAGTGTAGGTTGACTTACACTTATTTAAACCCCACAAGCAAGGCAGAATCATTATCTTGCAGTCATTCCTTTAGTTCATGAGTTTAACAGATATTCACGAATGTATTTGAGAACAGAGGTATTAGATTAGAAGTTGATGTTAAATCTCAGTTTTGTAGATGTGGATATAAATAGCATGAAGTTTTAACACCAATCATATCCACTAAATATTCATCCTTTTCCAGTCAAACTTGACCCTTTTGTACCCTTCTCTCTTCAGCAGTTCAGCCCTGCCCAAGTCCTGTTTTCCCCACTTAATCACTCCATGTATTAATCTCTCAGATTTTTCTGTTTCTTTGCCAGTCTCTTTATCCAGATGTTCTTTTCTCCCAAAGGCTGCAGACATTAATGCTTTTCAAAGAAGGAGTTACCAGAGTTTTTAATATGAGGAAAAACTGCACTTTTTTAATACTCTTGTTCTTGTCAAGATGTTAAACTGTTTTAGCTGAAGTTTTCTTAAACACTAACAGGAGCTATAACTCTCCATGAGAAACGGAGGCATCCCCCTTTCCCCTCTAGCAGTCAAAATTGTTAGAATGGCAGTTATAAGTCTTTGCAAATACAGGCTTGTATTGGAGGTCTTAGGCACGACAATTTACACAGTACCTCCCACCCCATCTATAGTTATATTACTAAGAGAACAGCACTGAAGTTGTTAAAAAAAGTAAGTTAAAGTATATTTGGACATAGTACGTTCTGTGAAGTCACACGATCACTCCTCTTGTCTATGTAACACAGTGCAATTCACATGATAAGGCAGCGAGGCAGAGCAAAGGCCATCTACCAGATGGCTGTCCTGGAGGCCACAGTGTCTTCTTCCTCTGTTGAAATGAATTAATACTCTCAGGAGTATGCACAGAAGCTAGTGGAGTAGTTAAGGAAGAGTATGTAAATACTTGCCACCTTCTTTTAAACAAAATGCTTCTTACATGTTACATTGTGAGAACAGATTAAGTTTTGTTCTCTGATGATACAGGAAGGTTTGGGTCAGTTCTGATTTTCTAAGAAGTTCTGGAAGAACCTGGTAATTGGAATAGTGTGAAAAAACCTCTGATGTTTTTAAGACTGAGCCCATGACTGGTTTAATAAAGAGGTTTTATGTTGTCACTGCACTAGCAAAGGACATTGCAACTCAAGAACATAGGACTGGAAGGGAGCCTTGGTTCTCCTTCCAGACTTCTGTGTATTGAGTCTATTTTACACCCTTTATTTTGTTCTTCATTTTCTTTTTTTATTCCTCATTAAAACTTGTTTTCTGGTCCTTCACTGCCGTAGTGTAAGTGCCTGCTTCATCACTGTGGATCAGCTACAGTTTGTACTCAGGCCCAAATTCTCTGATTCTCGCTGCCTCCCTGCAGTGACGCTGGGTCAAGTCTGCAGTGATCCTGCTGGCTCTTCAGGTAGAGGAACACCAATATGTGCTCGGATGCATTTGAGTTCTGCCTCTGCAGGCAGTGTGGATGGAAACTTCTTGAGCTATCAATGTGGCAAACTCAAGGCTGTATTTACACACATTGGGAGAGAAGTAGACACTTAGCTGTAAGAGAGCTGTAAGAGGAGCGCTGTAAAAAAAAAAACCAAACCAGTAGTCCATGACAAGAGTTGCGCTGGGAGTTGTTAGATAAATCTGAACTATTATGAACTGTGAAGGTTAGTACCAGAATACTTTAAAGCATAAATTTCTGAAACTAAAGTATTGTGTCAATTTTTATAACAGACAGTGGTTTGCAGCATGTTTTATTTTAGGGTTTATTTTATTTTATTTTAGGGTTGGTTTGTGTTTTGTTGTTGCCTGACCATTACTTTCTGATTTATACCCGTCTCTCTATTAAGTATGTAAATAAGTGCGCCTAACGCAGTAAACACTACTCTGTTTTGTAAGCAGGTCTTAAAGATACTTTCAACATCCTTCGTTCACACACTTTGCTAGGCTATTTTTGAGATATGCTTAGATAAAAGTTACCTGGTGTCAGTCAGAAGCATAAACCTCTTTGAAAAAGAGTTCTAGTTAGATGAATTTTCAGAACTAAGTTACCTAATCCTCCGTTTTTTAATATTATAGGGATAATTTTTAGAGTCAAAAAAACTCAGACTGAGGAGAAAACGCTTCTACTTGTAAAATAAAAATTTGACAATATTTTAATAAAATATGAAGAATTAGAAGCTAGTCATGCACAAGCTTCAGATAGGAAGTAGTTACTGCTTTTGTTCACCAGTCCAGAAAAAGTAGTATCTGAAATTATTTTCTACTTATTCTGAAAATAATAATAATAATAGTCGTAGTAGTAGTAGTAGTAGTAGTAGTAGCAGTAACCTTAACAATGTGGAGTGAATGGCAAACGTATTTTGAAGTTAAGATAGTCTGTGGGTAATGTAAGTTGCATCTGTACCAGTAAGTTGCATCTATACAAGAGTTATCCAGAGGTTTCAGGTTGCTCTCTTTCCCTTTCTAATCCACATGTTGGTACATAAAATAAGTTATATGTTTTCTAATAGGTATGTGACTTGTTCAGATTTATTGCAGTGACTTTAGTGCAGCAGCATATCAGCTGAAATTGTTTTACATGGTCTTGAATCCTTTTAGATCAGCAATTAGCCTTTTAGTCTTCTGCCACACAGGTGAATATGTAGCTTCAAAGCATCTTTTTCAGAGTTCAGTACAGTCTTGGGCATCAGAAAAGGAGTATGGCTTTTCAGAAGAAGTGCTGCACTATATTCATCATGTTTATTCACCTTTTTGAGCATTAGACACGTGTTTTGAGTCACAGGAAGCTGAGGAAAAGGGAAAGGCCATGGATGATTCATGGAGTGCTCTGCTGCAGGCTGTGTATTGCCTGAAGGTGCAGCTAGGACTTGGGGTGATCTGGTGATGATAGTGCCTGTTGTAGCCTCTGTTGGCTTGCTCCCTCTCAGGGCTGGCATTTGCTGGCCCATCGGCTGCCACAGCTCATGACAGCCCCAGTGTGGAGGCTGCACTCAGAACAGCTTTGGAGCTGTTGGCAGCTTGGGTGAGTTCAGCCACAACTCGTCATGGGTGATCGGTGGCTTAAGAAAAGGGTGGTTGGTTCTTCCCCAGAGGAAAATGATAGCATGAGCACAAGTTCTGTTTGTGGAGCAATAAATACATTGTTTCTTGAACCTCTGAGAGGAGAGACTTTGGGACAAAAAGCAAGGCATTTAAAATGAAAGGAAATAATTGGAGTAACTTTATAGAATCACTGTGTCTGGCTTTGAAAATAAGTGCCTTAAGATTGCCTTGGAATTTATATTGCAACAGGAAATAGTGATATTTCATTGACGTCTTCTAAGTATGTCCTTCCTGAAATGTTTTCCATTTTAAAGCAAGATTGATTTTCAGCTATACCAAAATCATACCATGCTCATTTTATTCATGTTCCTTTCTGTAAGACACAATATTAACTACATATGAAAACCTTGTATGAATTACTTCTGAGATTTAAATGTTCCTTGAAGTAGAACTTAAAGAAGATGTGGCTGAGATCAGCAGACAGGACTTTCATAAGTCATACATTTTGCTGTCATGTCAAAGCAGAGTTTGTAGTTTACTGTAACAAAGTAACAAAACTTGCTTTCCCTAAACTGTTAGAACTATACATTGTCTTTCATACAGCGTGACTCTTGCATAGTCTTATATAGGAGTTTTTCTTCAGAACTTCCTTGTAGCAACACAGATTTTTGAATGCAGAAGGTCAAGATATGTATTAAGCTTTGTATTTTCTTTTGATACAGGCTATATGTGTGGGCTCAGAAAGCATGCAGATAATGTATCCTGCAATCTTCGACCAGCTGTTGGCCTTTGTAGAATTTTCCTGCAAGCCTCCCCAGTATGGACAGCTGGAAACAAAGCACATTGCAAATGCAAAGTATAATCAGGTAATTAACTAGAGATCTTGCTTGTTTCACTTGGCTGGTGAACCCATTCTGCTTCAGATATCGGTTGTTTACCAAGATGTGTTTATTCCATCTGTAAAAACTTTGCTGTGCATGTTAATATGTTAGCTTATTAGTATTTTTATCATGCTTTCATTAAGTTCATTTGCTCTGTTTGAATTCTACTTTGCTTTTACACTTGGCATTCCTCCGTGCAGGAAAGGTCTTGCCTGGACACCAGACATAATGAATGTGTCTGAATTTGTCTAGTGAATTAATCTAAAATAACTTGTCCTACATGTGATACCAAACTTAATGGAAAGATAATAATTTTGAATGGAGAAAATTCCATCGAGCTGCAAAGTTTTGAACTGCACGTGCTGTAGAGAAATGGGACATGTTCAATAATTCCTCTTATCTGTGTAGTCTGCTGTTCACTAAGCATGAGCATCTGATTCACTGTAATCAAAGAGGTACCTATTATGTATGTATTAATTCTTCTTATTCTATTTGTCCTGCAACACAATGGAATCACACTAGATACAACTATTTGCACCGGTGAGTTAAATTTCCTTCGAGATTGTCCTAATGTAGTTGTCTTGCCTAGACTGCAAAGTTTCTCCTACTTCAATGTACTTTACTTCAATGTAGAGTACATTTTCATAGTCAGACTACTTTGTATTTGCAGTTTTGTTGCTTGGACCATATTCTTAGCAAACCTTGCATGCATTAAACTGAGAGTTCAATGCAAAACATACATTTTCTGCTCCTTAATAAATATGTTTTCACATACAATTCAGTAATTCACCAATTTCTTTTCCTAGGCGGAATGGGTAGCATTGAATTATGTACCATTTGCTGAGAGATCCTTGGAAGTTGTTGTGGACTTATACCAAAAGACAGCTTGCCATAAAGCTGTGGTAACGGAGAAGGTTCTTCAGAACATTATCAAGGTAAAAGTGTGTCCTGCATATTCTCTGAATTCAGTGAGCTTATACTGAAAATCATGAGTTTTATTTCGAGCTACTGCTGATAAACACTTTCTGGGAAGCTTAAAGCTTTGGTAAACAAATTGGTAGTTTATGAAGGTGAGCAGCAGGTAGCAGTTTCTTTTGAAGCTACAAGGCTGTTGATTAGGCTGTGTGTATTGTTCTTTAGCCCAATAACGTAGGCATCAGTACTTCAGTGTTAAGATAAAAATTAGCAAATGTGCTAGGCCACAGAATAGTAACCTTTGAAAGTATTATGCACCTGAATCTGATAAGCAGCCCTTTTAGTAAATATGGCACTGAAGGCCCATGACCAATTTAGCATATAGCATATATACTTTGGGGACTTGTGCTCTACCTGTTACTTTTCATTTGCTTTTAATGACTCTGTGTGTCATTAATGTAGCTATGAAAAGTTACAGGTGCACAAATGTGCCTTTAAGGCGAAATTGCCAATCTCTTTAACTTTTTCTGACTTTGTTTCCATTTTAGCAAATAATTTTGGTAAACACTAGAAGTTGTAGTAAATGTCTGAAAAAAATGTATGCAGCCTTAGGTTTCTTTGGAATGAGTTGGCTGACATCAGATTGTTTCTGTATAGAAACTCAGAAACCTGAATGTATTTAAAATAGTTGTGTGGTATTATTTTGAATTTGTTATGAATGAAATATTTGTATTTCAAAGTTAATGTTGTTTTACACTTCTGTTGTAATGGGATAGGTGAAACAGATAAAAGCACCGTGTTAATGTTCACAGTTGATAATAATGTGATCTATTGCAGTAGATGAAAATGGTTTAAAAATTATTTTTCATGTCTCTAAAGCCCGTGGTGATGCCAGAATTAGATTTGTCCCCTATGAACAATAGTAGCAGAAGAAAATACTCTGTTTAGAGGGCTAGATCCTAGCTCTCATGATGTTTGGCAATAGAGAGTTAATTACAATTTCCTCTTTCCTCCTTTTGCTATCCTCAAATCAGAGGCTTCACTAAAAGCATTGGGGGTATATGTGTAATGCCCGAATTTAGTCACTATGTATTTGAAATTTAAATTAAACAATTACTTTTCCAAGATAACTTGGTATCAGGTTCTAGTTAGTTTGACTAACAATACTAGAAGAAATAGATATAGCATAAAGAGGACGTATGCTTCATGTTTTTAAACTCATGAATTACTTTCTTTTATGGATATTGAAGCTGTCTACCTAAAAGACTTAAAATTTGCTGTGTTTTCATCTGCTATACATTTGAGTTATATTCCAGCCTTTATCTTAGAATTTCACTCACTCTTTCTGCTTTTAAACTTCATGTGGTTTAACAATGAGCAACAGTCGGGTGTCTTGCAGTGGTTATGTATACAGTTCAACTTTTGCATATTAGGAAAAGTTGAAATTTAATGAGGCTTTTTTTCCTTACTTGAGATGGGAATGGGAATAAACTCTCCAGAATATACTCATGATAACAACCTGCCTGCAATCTGTTAGATGTTAGGAAAGCCCATTTGTCAGGCTTAGCAGAAATGGTGGCTGGCAATACAGAAAAGGAAAATTAGTATGCAATTTCATAGTGTAATTGATAATGGATCAACTCTGACTTCTGACCTTGTACTTGGCAACAGACCTGTGCTTTAGCCAGCTGGTATATGGTAAATCATCTTATAATTATGTTTTTAAAAGAGTATCTTGTATACCAGCAGAAAAGTTAGGGATGTTTACTATCATCTATGACAGTCTCTGCCAAGATCTTATGCAGAAACCTGTCATATTCTTAGATTTGTCTGAGCAAGTATAAATTTTGTTTTGATTTTCATTTTGCAGACACTAAGAATACCTCTCAGTCTGAAATATTCCTGTCCTTCTGAAAGCACATGGAAGCTGGCTGTTTCCTCTCTTCTCAGAGTTCTCTCTATCGGACTACCTGTTGCGAGGCAGCATGCATCCTCTGGAAAATTCGACAGTATGTGGCCAGAGCTAGCAAATACTTTTGAAGACTTTTTATTCACCAAAAGGTAAATGCTATTTCCTTTTTTTTTTTTTTTAAGCTGGAAAATACTTGTAATTAATTTGCTCGGTAAATGTGTCAGTAAATGAGTTCAGTAAAAATAGCCTTCTCTTTAGAGATATTTGATATCTGCAAAATTATTTTCATGAATGAAGGAAAAAAGGTAACCAATCTATCTACTTTAAAGAAGTATAATTTTGGAAAGTAGTAGAAAAAACTTCACTCAAAAGGTGACATGTCAGAGCAAGGAAGAGCTCAGCTGACCTCTGAATACAACGCATGGCCTTTCTGATCAGGCCAAGGAGTTCTGTATGGACTCCCAAGGATGTCTACTGTAGATCTGATAAAGAGTTACTGATGTGTACTGGGTTGCGACAACTTTTTTTTAGTCAAGGTGAACACCATTAACTGTCTGTATTTCTCGAGTTCCATCTTGAATTATTCCACTTACTATGGATTTTGGAAAATTATTTCTTACATTGCTGTTCACTTAGAAGCCCATCGTTGTCTTGCATTTGTTTCTACCCAAGATAAATTGACTGCACCTTAATAATTAACCATGCTTTATTTATAATACACTGTGAGATGTGTAGCTAAATAGTCAGATTTATAACCAGACAGGCAGATGTATTAAGTACTTGCATAATCTCTCAGGAATAGAACATGGTAAATGTAGGCATGCTGAGAAAGTCCAGAAGTGAAAAATAATGATGATCAGAGTCTTAGGCAATCTGATCTATTCATTTCTGCAACCAAAAGAATATACTATTGGGAAGACAGGATACATCTTCAGAATATGGCAAAAGATTGCTCCAGAGAATGTTTATTTTCCTTTGAGAATGGGTAAAAGTGGATGTCAGTACAGCAACGATTCTCTAGGTTAGACGTTAAGGAAGCCTTTTGCTGTAAGGAAGGTCAGGTGTTGTAGAAGATTGCTTAGGATCGCTATGGAATTTCCATCTTCTGTGAACATCTGTGGGTAAGCATCATTTAGGAGTAGTTTAAGCATGTCTAACGGTGCCTCAGATTAAAGGACGATGTGACGATGAAAAATCTAATTCCCTGATTTTCTGTGTGTATGCTGATTTCAGTAACAAATTAATCTTTTTTCCTAATAGAAAGTGGTAGGGTTCTTCTGTACCTAACACTAATATGCTGTGTATTTGTGTGTGTAGTTTTCAAACACACAAAAATCAGTAACCAAACACAGCTGTATTTACTAATGGTGAATAAATAGCAGCTTGCCCAAAACAGACAAAAAGTAAATACCAACGAAAATTAATTTTAGAGAGACGTGTTAGTGAAAGCATTTGTAATAAAGAAACGTTTTGGAATTTCATCAGTAGGGTTACGTGACAATTGAATGAAAACCCTTTCTTTCGTTTTTGCATTTACTTCAAAGAAATATTATTAATAGGAGGACCTTAAAATAAAGACACTTGTCAAGACTACATTAAAGACACTTTAACCATCCAAGTTTTTGTTTTGATGCCTCACCGTTTCTTTAATTTAAAACAATCTTTGCAGTATCTTGTTTGATTTCAGCTGTGGTTGGCAGTCCTGCTTCAATTCTGAGACGGGCACTCCAGACCAGCTAACACCCTATAATCAATAACATTGTTGGGTTTAAAAAATTCAAATGAAAGTTTTTCAAGTTACTGAAGAAGAACGTATGTTCCCTTAGAAGTTACTTTGGGAATACGTACTACTATTTGCTGTAATTGAATAATTCCTAAATATCTGCAAAACAGATAAACATACCCATTTTGCATGTTTTTTGCTGGCCCAGACTGGCACTGCTGTAGTTTTGGGTATTAATCATTCATAAATCCAAGGAAGTAAGATTATCACAGATATTCAGTATAATTCAAGATAATCCACATCATCTGCATGACCTTTCTGGCCAAATATCTTGTCTATTTTTCTTGATTTACAGCGAGTGATTTATACTTTTCTTGAAAGTTGTTTCAACCACAGAAATCCCATCTTAACATGTTGCTTGCTAGAAACAATCACTGTTGGAGTCAGCTCTAACAGCTTTTGCCAGCTGGCATACATGGGCAAATACTCTCTAGGGGTAAAAGAAAAATAGTACTTCTGTGAATATTTATGATGCCCTAAAACTTGTCTGTCTTCACTTAAGTCTGGTTTTGCCTCTTTACATACAAAATGTGTTTTAGGGATCAGCATTTTCATCAGAATTAAAGATGTTCTCAGAGTGAGTTATATGAAAGTTTTGTATTCTCTGCCTTAGAAGCTTTAAGGTACAAAAGAATTGACAATATTAAAAATAGGCTGGTGGTTTATAGAACCATATGGCTACAGCAGGATAATTTGCCCTGTTATTATAATTAATGGCCACTGCGATTACTCTCTCCAGCTTACTAGTAGATGATTTTTGATTATATTGTTGTGTGGCTATTTAATGTCTGATTTGCGGTTGGTGGTTTTTTGCCCCCCCCCCCCCCCCAATATCCACCTTTTCTAAAAAGCAGTTTGTCTTCCCAAGTGCATGATCTTCCTACTTGCAATTTTAGAGCCCTGTCCCTTGGTGGCTTTAGGCTAGATAACCTTTTGGTTCCCTCTGTCAGCCTGAGAGCTTTGTGGTCCTAAAAGAAGTTAAAGCTCAGAAAGGAGCACATCTGCCTCATGTCCTTAGTCAGGACAATTAGTAATAGCAGTCATTTCTCCTTTTCTTCATCTTCTTCCTCCTCCTCCTCCTTCCCACAATGCTCCTGAAGCGTGTCTCTTGTTGTGGTGCACAGAGGGCTCTAGGGGTAGCTGTGGAAGTTCCCCATGTTGAGGTAATTCTCCTCCGATTTCCTTTGGTTAAGTCCTTCTGCACTTCTGTGCAAGATACTGTGAAACCATTCTTGACACATAGGGCAACCTGTCCAGAATTTTCAAATTTACTGTGTTCTTTCAATTTCTTTTTCTTTGTTAAAGTTCTAATAGAAAAAATGTTAATCATAGCAGTGTCTTATTCCAGAGTAATTTGGAAGAATCTATTCACTGCTTTGAAAGTAACAGCTAAAATTTATCACTGAGTTGAGGTACATGTCAACCTTCGGATTACAGGAGAAGGCAATGGGAATGTACTTTCCAGCTGTTCATGTTGGTCCTTTGTTTTAGGCCAACTAGATGGTATAAAAGCTGATTTTCAGGGATTTATTTGTATTAACGATGAGTTGTCTTTTAAAACTTTTGACAGTACTTGGATTTTTGTCTGCATCACCAAAATCAATTCACCAGAGCACAGATGAGGAGATGAGAGCACCCTGTGCTCGTAGTCGTGTGACTTGTAAACTTGACTGGGTTTTAGTGACCCCGTTGACCGTGACTGTGGCTGAGAGTCACTCATCCCTGGTGGCTTTCCAACTCACAAATATGCCATGCGGGACAGGGGGGTTATTAAGTTGGGTGCAGAAGGGCGCAAATCTGTCTGTGTGGCTGAAGACCAGCATGGATTAAAAAGGTTCTGGAGCACAAAGAACTTGGAAAATGCAGTTCAGAGGCACCCCAGGAGGCTATCGGTGAAACAGTGACAGCATTACTGTGTTATCTTGATTCTCACCATTATCCAGCATGTCACCCCTTTTGCCAGGAATACAGTCAGACCTGAGTGCAGTTAGAACTGAACATTTACTTTCTTAAGCTGACATTCTGTAATGTTTCCTAAGTGCTCTGCTTCAAGGAAACTGAAATGTTTTGTCACAAAGAAACTCACTTTTCTTCCTTCACTCCTGTGTACCTTTTCACACTCCACACTTTCCACTGCATTCCAGCCTTCATGCAAAGCTAGGGAAATAGCCCAATTCCTTTTGTACCTGCTCTTCAAACCCTTATTCTTCAATGCTGACTTAGCACTGCTGGGATGGTTCTAGATAGGAAATATCTGCATCTCTGTAAAACTTGGAAATGTCTCATTGCAGTCAGCCCTCCTTACTAAACACTGCACAGCAGTGCGTATTGTTTCATTTTTGTGTGCACATTCTCCAAGTTTCTACCTGGCTGAGGACAGAGTAGAAAGATAACACTATTTCACAGATGCTCTACATTTTAAATCAACATTTTAAATGATTTTCTGATCTATCTCATAATTCTTCTAATCACTGTGGTCCTAGAAATCGCATGTGTTAGCCTAATATTGCTTCCGCCAGTGAAACTGAGTTGGCATTCGTTAGGCAAGGGGTCACTGTGGTTAAAACCCCTTAACTAAAGCTCTGCGAATCTGGTTTAAAATGGTGAACCTCCTCTGCATGGTCTTGCCTCTGTCTTTTGGACAGGAACAGGTTTTCAAGCCAGCTATGGGGCTGAATGAGAGGAGATACTGATTGATGTTTAAAAACTAAAAAGCACACCAGAAATAGTCTGCAGCTTTGTACATCAAGAAATTTCAAATATTAACGAAAAGAGCCCAGGTAAATGAAAAAGAAAAATGTTACTGTCATAGAGAATTAACAGCTTCTGAGCAATAAGCTTCAGCTTTCAGCTGCTTTTGCCTTTTTATTTTTGTAAAACAAGTTACAGCTGAGGAGGCTCAATAATCTTGATTTTTATTATAAATCAAAATGACATTTAAAAATTAATACATTTCATGTAACTTAATTTACACAAAATCGTCTTCTAGTAAGAGCCTGGTCTGTTTATTATTTCATAACATTCTTCTTCCCAGAGGCTTCCATGGAAGCATGTCAAGCCATTATATAAAATAAAATTCAACAAACGTTTGTGTATATATAATTTACTAGAGCAGAAGTCTGCGCTCACATGAGGGAATTAAATCAATACTCTCCAAAAAGATGCTTGAGAGCAGAGTGCTGGTGTGCACAGTGGGACTCTGGGTGGCTGGGAGCTTTGTTGTTAGGCTCCAAAGCCCTCCCTAAGCAGCAGGCAGCAGCTGCAAGCTCTGCACCTCGGAAAGCCTGCACATAGCAACAGTCCACATCGCACTGCCTGCCTCTCACCTTCCCTGGATCCTGGCCCTTCGTGGTGCAATTCGGCTGTATCACATCAGACCAGCAAAGCTTTTGGCCCCTAGATAGATGTTTCATATAGAAGTCTGTTTACCTGGGAGTAATTTGCTACGTGAACAAGTACGTAGCGTAATCTGCAGCACATAAGGCAGATCAGATATGGATGGCTGGGCAGAAAGGTCTTAACACCTCTTTAAAGTAAACCTTAGCTCAGAGGCAGTCAGTCGTGAATTAGGAGGTGTCAGAGTGAAAGCTTCCCATGTATGTCAACATGACCTGCATTTGTATGCACCATGATAGTTTACATTACTATTTACAGGTTTTGCATAGTTCCTTTTGTAACATGTAAAGAAGTTTATTGACTGAACAGCTGCTTAAAATTTTGCTTTATTCTTTGTTTTCAACAATAACTCCAGACTTCCTGACTGCCTAACACACAAATCAGTAATAAATACAGTATTTCATATTTTCTTCTTTGGCATTTTTCAAACAGAAACATAAGTACATACTGTCATAATTGTCAGTACTGAAAATCACCTGTAGGTGTGCAGACTGAACTTCCAGTTTCTTATGCTAAGTACTCAGAAGCCTATCTTGGAAAAATCTCATTTGACTTGGTCAGCATCATATAGGAGCACCGGGAAAAACAAAACTAAGCAAAAACTGTTAACTAAACTAACCAGAATCAAATGAGATTTAGAAGCCTCCAGAGTTCTTAAACCTTTCATTAACACTGTGAGTGGGATGGAGAAGAGGGGCCCAGACGAGTACCCTTACGAGGACAAGGCTGGCACAGGTCCACAGTCGCCTGTTTGGTAGTTGCCTTGCCAGGGAGCACGTGCTTAGCTCTGAGCTACCCACCACATGGCTGTGATTTCCTGGGGAGGGACAGGGGGTGGAGGAAAAGCTGGGGGCTGGAGAGGGAGTTTGGAAACCAGCCAAAAGATGCTGCTCTGCCTGTCACTGCAGTACGGCACTGATTCCTCTGCTTACAGAGCAGCTTGGCTCTTTGTTCAGTCCAGAGCGTGCTTTTCCTTGCATCTGCCTATCCTGCCATAAATTAAGGAGGGAATGTTGTGGAAGACTGACCGTATCATTTTCCTTCCTTCTCAGTAGTGACCGTTCTGTGTACTTAATCAGATGGTTTCTCTGGAGGGGAAAAAAAAAGCATTGTCTAATTTCAGATGCATTGTAATACACAAGCATACACAACAGCAGCGAGTTGAAGTACCACAGGCAATCTTAATTCCAGTATTTATAACCATTCTTTCAAGTGGTCAAATTTCCAACTGTTCCTCAGCTTGAAGATGTTATATAGTTATTTAAAAAAAAAACCAAAGTAAACTTATGAGAAAAGGAGAGAATTTAATATATGAAATTATATTGACCTTATATCTTGCCTTGTCTCTGATTTTTGTTGAAAAGCTACTGGTTATTCCATTACCTCTAGTGACATGTTACCTTCAGGGCAAATCAGACACTGCAGAGAAACTGAACCCGCAAACCAGTGCGTTTTGCAACTGTCTTTAAATTTCAGAGAGACATGGACAGGAAGATTCCAACTTCTGCTCAATGTCGTAACAAGCAGAATGGCATAACTAGGTCAGGACAGGCACGTGTCTAGATGTGCTGCTTCTGTTGAACTAGTGGGATACCTAAGGAAGAGTGCAAGGTGACCACATAGTGATATTTTCATGATAAGCTCCTTCAGCTTCCCAGTTTACGTAGCTCAGAAAGTTCTTGTACCACAGGTGGTCACTGGCTCATAATTGATGTTTCTTCTAATAATTTTGCAAACTGTATGTTGAATCTGTGCAGATTTTAGCAGGCAATCCTATGATTATGGGATTATAAACAAGGTATTTCAGAGTTTCTGTTGTGTGAAGTATCTTCTTTGAGGATTTTTTTTCATGCCCCTAAGTGCAGTAGAAGTAGATCTGTAAAGCAGAACTGTTTATGGTGAGGACCCATCACCTGCAGAGTGCTTGCTTTGGGTGTTTTATCTCAGAGTCGGTGTAGTCTGGCTTCCTGTTGGGCAAGCATCTTTGAGAATTTGGAGTACATTTTTTGGTTTAGTTTCATTGGAAATTATTCCAGTTCTGTGCACTGTAAGACCAGACATGAACCAAGGTTTATAAATGGGGATGTCTAAGTTTAACATGAAAAGCCCATGTCTGATCTAAACCAAAACACTGATGTAGGCCATCAGCTGAAGTAGTTGATTGCTGTCTAAGTAGGAGACCGTTCCTTTCTGTCCTGCTGAGGAACTTGGCCCAGCAGAAGCATATCCAGCAAAGGAAAGGAATGTGAATTCACTGAATTCAAAGGACAAGGAAGGACTCAATAAGTAAGATAAAACTTCAGCAGAGGAAACTGCATGACTGATGGTTGGCATAAAATTTCCAATCAAATTATACAAGAGTTCCAAATTTACAAGCAGGTAAGATAGGATCTTGTAAAGTATTGGGTAGTTTTCATGGTTGAATCACTTCTGAACATTCAATCTGTAAATAAATTTTTATATGCAATGAAATAGCTGCAAAAAGTTCTGAATTTCTTCAAAACGGTTGTTTGTGAAATAGGTTTGTCTCTTCATAAACTTCATTAAGAATGAGAACAAATACATAATTTCAGTTAACACGGAAAAAGACAAAGTAATGTCCCATTAATGAAAAGTGTGTTTCATTAATGCAGAAGAAAATGTAAAATTAAAATTAAGTTTTTTACGGTTGTACTGCTGAAAATTAAAAGTCTCCCTTATCTTGCAAAGTGAGAGAAAAATAAGAATGTAATAAACTGTGATCCCTTGGTGATACCTTCACAGACTCATTTTAACAGATGTTGTGGCTTTTGCACATACAAGACAAAGTTTACTAAGAGTGTGTCCAAGAGAGATTACTTTGAGATGCCTATGAAAAATGGTGTTGATAATTCAAATTGTTAATCAGGTCCATCAGTTGTAACTCTTCAATTTTAGTGTTTTACTACTTTTTTCCTTCGAATCATTTTTATCATCATTATTCATAAGATTTTATTCTCAGATGTTAATCATTACCACATAATATTACCAACCTGATGCATGTAATAACTTTAATGTGTTTTCCCGTACTTATCTCCTTACACATGTTGTGAATTTAAAACTATAATGTAGTATTTTTGGTTTTAGTACACCGCCTGATAATCTCTCGATTCAAGAATTTCAGAAGAATGAGAGTATTGATGTTGAGGTAAGGAGACTATAACAAATACACTGTTGAACATAACGAGACAGTGACATTCACAGTTTGTATTTAGTTCTGAATAATTTTTTAAAAAGTTACCCATTCATTATTTTTTCTGTGATGTTATTTTCCGTTTTGAAAACAAGACAGGAAATTCATAGGGTCAGAATTTGGCTGCTTCAGAGTTATACAGAAAGTAGGAAGCAGCATGTCAAAACCTACTTCTTGTCCACTCCAGTTCAAAACAGCATCGAGTGGCTCCACCAAACGCGTTTCTGCCTCTAACCCATTATCCGATTCTTACTTGTTATGTTATTTCCAAGCAGTTACACAGGTAACTGTAAACCATGGAGGAAGCTGACAATGAAAGCTGAAGTGAGTTCTTTCTGTGCTGGGGAGGGTGTTCAGTGAGCAATGACATCGTTGTCCTCTGAATGTGTTCTCAATACTGAAGAGCTTGTGCATAAATGCAGAAATGATATCTTGTTTGTGCAGTACATAGACTCCTGCAACCATAAAAGAGGTCATGTTTGGCTGGATAATGCTAAAGAAAATTAGGAGATGATGATACCTGGAACGGAGAGGACTGGTCCCCTTTCACTGCAGGACTAAGAGTGGCAGACCAGGGATTAGGGGTACAAAGGAAAAGGAGTTGCAGAGAAGACGTGGCAATGTCTGGGTTTGACCGCCTGTCATCTCTTCAGAGCAGCAGATGGGACAGGAAGATTTCTGGATGCAAAGCAGGAGCAGTTCTGTTTGCAGCAAGCAGAACTCAAGATCTGATGCTTAATTTATGGAGATCTAAAGCCACTTTGTTCCTGAATGGGAGCATCAAGACCATGGATAGAAATTTCAGTAATGTGCATTGCCTTAAGCTTGTTTAGATAATTAACTTCACTTGCTCTGCTCTGCAGATGTCACATTGCAAGCATGTGATGTATGTGCTCATGTCACAGCGAGGATGTTGAATGGGGTGGAGGCAGAGGGAGACTCCTGATGTTAGATCTTCCTCTCTTTTCACAACCAGAAATTCCACTTGAAGAATATACTTCAAATGTCAGTGGAAATCTGAGTGATAACTGCGTCATAAACTCTGACAAAAGCAGGAAAATAAAAGTTTATTATCTCAAGTTTAATGTTACACACAAGACCACAATTTTTGGACATATCTGCAAATTTTAAAAGCTAGCTTTGGAATATTTTGTGAAGTTTCATTAGGCATGTCTCTTTTGTTTAATGTTTCTGTCTTCTTCATACTAGAATTACAGCTTTAATATTCAGAAAACCAACATAAATATATTTAATTTATTTTAGGTGGTGCAGCTTATCAGCACAGAGATACTGCCGTATGCTAATTTTATTCCTAAGGAATTTGTTGGTCAGATAATGACTATGCTCAATAAAGGCTCAATACATTCTCAGTCATCCTCCTTTACAGGTATGGTACCTGAATGACAAAAGATACGGTGTTTAAATCTACTGGAAAGTAATAAAAATGTTGACAGTATTTATTCTGATAAAGGCTGGAAGCTGGCATGTATTCACTATAAACTGATACCCAGCTTGTTTTCAGAAACTGTCTTTTTATTTCGTGGAAGTGGCTGAGCATTCTTTGCAATTTTAAAAAAATTATTTCCTTATGTCTTGGTCAGTACCATGTCTAACGTTGTACTTCTCTTACTTTATATTTATACTTTCTACATAGTTTGTTTTGCATTGTTCCAGCTGAAATAGTACTAACAGTAATTTCAGGCAATTGTAAGACAGACATAATACCCTGTTCTTAAAAATGAAATGACCTTAGCATAACTATGGTGTACCTAACCAGATACCTTCTCTGCCTTTAAGAAAAGACTTTTATATTTTGGGGGGAAGGATGAAAAAAAGAGACATAAGTATTACAAAGAAAAATATTTGGATTGTGCTGTACTAAATATTAGTACTTATGATGTAGAACATGATGTAGAACATGTTGCAGGGTTTTTTTAAATTGATTTCATATATTAAATTATTAAAGCAATGTCAAGTAGGTAACACATTACTGAATGCGTTGCGTATTTTATTTTTGGAACCACTGTGACTATTGCAGAGTCTGCTTTTCTTAGAATGTATTCTTAACATCTGTTCATAGCACTGTTAATAGCTTTTAATACTAGAGGAGTGATAACCATGTTGCAAAACATAGTAAGCTGACTGAAGCGCGATGTTTAGTGTATTGGCCCGCGTGCTGCACAATGAAATACAACGTTTTCCTTTGACAGAAGCTGAAATAGATATTCGAATGAGAGAGGAGTTTTCTAAGGTGTGTTTTGAAACACTGCTCCAGTTTTCATTCAGTAATAAAGTCACAACTCCTCAGGAAGGCTACATCTCCAGAATGGCGCTTTCTGTGCTCCTGAAAAGGTCACAGGATGTATTGCATCGCTACATAGAGGATGAGAGATTGAGTGGCAAATGTCCTCTTCCACGGTATGTATATTGTCTGTAGGAAATGAAAGGTATTACCAGTGCTTTATGAGAAGGTTGCATTCAAAATATCACTCAATCATTAAAAATTTATTGGCGGAGGGGAGTGAAATGTAAAGCCAGAGAAATGTTTGTGGGGAAGACTTTGAAGAGAACATTGATACCCATTTTTTGTTGAAAAAGCTTTAAATAATCATGGTTGTATTCAGTGCTGCTACACAGACAATAGAAAAGTGACTTGGTAAGTAACATTTTCAGTTTCTGAAGTAAATGTTTCTGGTATCTGTAACATAATATTTCTGAAATCTGATTTTCCTTCATTCCCAATAGAACTATGTATAGTTTCTAAAGTGTGAATCATTACTCAAGTAATTGTTCTTGAAACAGAAAAATTGACCAAAGCACTAGGAAATTCTTTAAATTGGGAACTTACTTAAATTTTGCTTAGGTTTTGAAGGTTTTGATCACGAACAACAAAATTGATTTTCATCTAACAGTTAATAGTATACCTGAGAATTTGAAGATTGAGATGTGTATGCTGTTACTGTTTCCAGTATCAAATTGAAAGCTATCCTAGCTGAGACAGCAACAGTGATGGGAAAGTTAAAGATAAATGAAAACCTTAATCTCTAAATATCCTTTTTTTTTTTAGTAGGCTTCATTGCAGCTGTTTGCATTACATGTTTGTCTTAAGTTTTGAAGAAAACTTATATTCTTGAGACAAAAATGAGTAGTTGACTGTTTGCATTTTTCCCTTTGTAGGCAACAAGTAACAGAAATCATATTTGTTTTAAAAGCTGTCAGTACTCTCATAGATTCACTTAAAAAAACTCAACCTGAAAATGGTAAGTTATTTTTAAGCAATGTGATTCTAAACAAGGTAACATTACATCTGCCACAAAGAGATGTTTATTCTTTCCTGCATCATTTTCACATACATTTGAAAGAAAAGTGTAATCTGTACGATTCCTTATTTTGTAAGTCTGTGTATATGTAGGTGGCAGGTAGATGGAGGAAAAAAAACCCGAAACCCAAAGTTTTCTCCAGTATACCTAAAAGCATAATGTCCTCAGATATGTTTAATAAGACAGAAAACTTCAAATTTTGGTGTCTTTTATTAGAGCTTGGTGTCTTCTAAAAATGAACAAACAAACATTTCCATTAAAATGTATAGAGTTCTTAAATATACGTAGTCTTGCTAGATTCTTCTCATGACACCTGATAGGTTGCTATGGATCACGTTCACATAGGTGCACTCTGCAGTTAAAGGGATGTACAAGTTAAACGTATGGGCAGGCTGTTGGATACAGAAACTTGTGGTCTTGCTTTCCCTCCCTTTCTGCTTTAGGAGCTCCTGTGCCCTGTATTCAGAAAGATCTTAGCTCATTGATCCCCAAGTAGACGGTTGACAAATGTATTTAAAAGGCTGAATTAAATGGAAAACCTCCACTTTGTTTATAATCCTGTGTCCTGTTCCTCTGGCAAGCTGCACCTACTGTATGCATAGAGTTCCCACCAGAAAACTTAGTGAGGAGTCTTAGTTAAACCAGCTGTATTGGACTCTGTGTTGTGTCTTGGTCTAGTGTTTCTTCCTCTGCTTTCTATAGCTCCTGTAATCTGGAATGATTTGAAATTAAGAAAAGACCTCATTGCTGACAGATTTCCAAAAGTGAAATGTGCGTCCAATTCAATTTTCTGTTAATAGCTGAGAAAAGCGGGCAGAATATGTATGTGTTATGGATTTAATAGAAGTAGTATCTTCAGTTCTTCATCCAGAAAACACAGTGAATGACTCATATGTAGAAACACAGGTGTGTAGCACCATGTCATGGATAACCCATCTGGTTTCCAGCTGCTGCTGCTGCAAAAAAGAGTGTAGCTCTCCTGCAAAAATCCTGTATCATATCCAAGAGCCTTGTACAGATGTTGCAGTGTCTATATGACACTAGGTACCTCTGTTTAGGCACCTGAATGTGCCCTTATTTATTCAGGTAGTGAAAAAATCTGTTGTAAGAATTTGGACAGCAGTAAGTGATTTAATCTGTTCTCTTCTTCATTGCAGTTGATGCTAACACATGGGCACAAGTTATTGCCTTGTACCCGACTTTAGTAGAATGTATCACCTGCTCCTCCTCAGAAGTGTGCTCTGCTCTGAAAGAGGCACTGGTTCCCTTTAAGGACTTCATGCATCCACCAGCATCCAAGGTACAGAACGGAGAGTCTTGACCCCATAAAACATTTTATTTTTTTTAATTTTTGATGGAAAAACAGTATCCAAAAATGTTTGTTCCCGGGTGAAGTTTCTCTGAGGAAATCTCTTGTGACTAGTACTTTGGCAACCAACCCGTGCTGACTGCCTTTTAACTGTACTAACAAGAGCTCAGTAATTCATTCATGCAGGCTATATCTCCAAGGTTCCAGAGTGAGTAGCAGTGCAAACCTGTAATAAACTTAACTGAATAGTTGGAATCCTTTATAATCTAATGTACTTGCTACAGTATCTTGAAGTGGTGATTGAAAAGTGGGCTTATGTACAGCTTGTTGTGTATGTGTTAATGATGTAATTAAAAATATTTCAATTCAGTCAGATTTATTAGGCTGGTGTTTTGCACCCTTTTTTTGAAGTACAAATTGTACTAAAATTTTATGCAAGATGGTACTGTAACATTCCATATATCTGTAACCAGCCTTTGTAAACAAAGGGAACTGATATACTTGTGTGTATAATAAATGGTACAGTTCTGTATAAAATAGTTGCATTTATTATTTAAATTCTTTTTAAAATATTGATAATGTTAAATGCTTGAAAATGTATTTATTATGAATAAGTTGTGTGCTTGCATTTTTACTTACTGTTTGCCTTCTGAATTGCCAGATATGCTCATTCATATCTGATCATGTTGTTAGTTTTTGCTTAATTGAATGTATCTTCTCTGTGGTCACTGGTCATCTAAGGAAGGGTCATATGGAAAAAGATGGCAGCGAGCAGGCAGTAGTCTGCTGGTCTCAAACTTCAAAGTAGTTGACCTGAAATAAGTTTGAATATGCAGAAATCTACTGTAGCACTTCAACACTACCATACCTCACTTCATAAGAGATTTGTTTCAAGATGGTTGTTCTACGCAACTCTATCCATTTTTGTAGTTGCAGCCTTGCTTTAAAAAAAAAATACATATTTGAGGATTATTAGCCTTTTTTGACCTTCTTGGCAGGGATTACAGTCTTCGAATCATGACCCAAGAAAGGTGATTTCAAATATCTGAAATACTTGGCTGTAATATTTTGTTCAAGAATTTTAAGTGCTTTGTTTTGTAATATCTTTTCAAGCCAAACAGATTGTTCTAATCTTTTAGTTATAAACTGTGTCTGATATAAAACCATGAGAAGTGTATTTTTGAAGATAGGCACTCATTAGAAGTGCAGTAAAATTTGTCATACGTAAATGTGAATTTGTTTCACGTAATACACAATCAAAGCAAACCACTTTTATTAGTATTGTTTTTAAAGTTTGTGACTTGCACTTAAACTCTTACTATTCAATCATTAATTATTATTTCAATAATGTTTCACCTGTATTCACATATTTTTAACCTATGATGTGAAAGCACAAAGGCCAAATGTTAAAAAAAAAAAGAAGGAAAAAAAAAAAGACAGGTGCCTTTCTATGGATTTCAGAATTTCAGAGCTTACCTTTAGGTTTTTGTTCCTTAAAGTCTTTTGTAGATATTAAAAGATATTATAATGCATAAGAAATGGTATTACATCTGTTTGCTTTATACTTTTCCTGGCTGAAGGGACATTGATTGGTATGTGTGAATAGATGAAGTTGTAGGAGCTTGAGGCTGATGGTGTGATGAACTGGTCAGGGTTAGAAATATCCTGTGTGAATAATGTTATGCACACACAGCTTTGGACAGCTTGCTCCCATACAACTCCAGTTTATGGTCCTTTTTAAAAGCTTTCCGTTTCAAAGTACAGTGAATCTTGGACATTTCTCTGTGACCATGACCAAAGTTGCGTGGAACTTAATTGTCAAGCGTGGGTAGTTTTTAGGGAACACACAGTATGCATGAAGGAAACAAATGCTTCCCATTAACAGAACTGATGTCAAAATAGCATATTTGGAGGAGCCGTTCCAGTATAATGCGGAACTGGGTCCCACATACAGGTAACAACATTATCCATACTCTGAAAGTGAAAACCTGGCTCTCCTAATTAGTGAAAATAAGTCAAGGTCTATGAGGTCATTAAAGAAACAAAGCGTAGCACAGGATAGAAGGGTGTTAATTTGGTTTAGAATGTATCATCTTAACCAGAATTTCTGGAAAGAGGTGTGCAGACCAATCTGTGGGTGAGTTTGTTTCTAATTGGTTTTTCAGTGTTAACACAGATGTATTCTGTCCAATAAAGCAAATCTTCAGCTTTATCTGTATTTTAAAAAGATGGTGTATAAGTCTTTCCTACTCTAGAGCTTAGAACACTTTACCACCCATGGACATTGATCTTCAAAAGGTTTTGAAATAAACTACCTATGAGCTAACTTTCCTTCCCTCTTAATTAATGAATAACATCTGTGCTATTTGGGGCATGTTTTGGACACACAAGCTGAGGTTGACCATATTCAAACCACTTTCTTGTATTTTTTTATAAATAGTTTGAGAACTAAAACCAAAGCTACTTAGTTTAGAAAAGAGGTTTTTCATTGACTAATTTTGTCTGTGAATAAGAATCACTCCCTTTACTGTGCCTTCTTGTCCAGCACTCAAATATTTCATCCAACTTGAAGTATCAGTTTCTTTTTTTCTATTTATACTTTTTTGCTAAATATTCATAGGGCTTCTTCAATGCAAACAGCATTTTTGAATATTTAAATTGCACATTTTTACGTGTTTCTAGCAAGGTAAATCTTGTTCCTGAAGAAGTTTTATTAATTTAACATTACCTATTGAGTAGACCCATGTCCAAGTACTTTTCAAGTCGGTAGGGTTGCTTAGTCATGAGAAGTAAAATGTGGACATTTTCAGGATTGGGGTCTGCATTGCGTCACTGAAATCAGCTAGAAAAGGGGTACAGCTGCCTGTAGAGAAAGGTCAGCTGGAAGGTAAAAGATAAGCATTAATTGCTTGTTGAATGTAACCACAATCTTCACCTTTTTTCTTCTTCTCCCTAACTTGAAAAAAGATATGGGTTGGGAATCCAAAGAGGAAAATGTGAGGGTCTTGCAGATTATTAAAAGGTTCATGTCAAGATTTTGGATTACATGGGAAAATTTGTATGTCTCAGTGCCATGATCACTGCCTTAATGTACACCTGGATTTAATATTACATAGTAACTGCGATTAAGAAAAAGGAACAGATGCCTCAAGCTAGGAATTTCTTATAGAAGTCTTATTCTTAAGCAAATAACTACTGTAGGTTGCTTCTATCACCAGAGATGCTTATCTAACTGGACATCTGTTTTGTTCCCTTGTATGTGTTCCCTTGCCTGCTTCCCTACCTGTTTTATTGGTGGATGGGAATGTTACTGGACATTAAGCCACATGAAGTATATGATCACTGTCAGTTATTTACAAGAGCAAGTAGGAGTACATTGGTGAAACTTCAGTAGTTTATAATTGTATTCTGCAGATGATTTTTTTTTTCCATCCAGGTTGAGTTGTTTCTTCTTGCCAAATGGAAAACCTCGTAGTTGGCCTTGAACTCCTCAGGCAAGATATTCTCAGTGACGATAATGCCTTTCTTTTCCTCAGCACATGGCAAATACAAGTACTAGTCAGTGTCTTCTAGAGAAATTCATTCAGGATACTACTGTTCTTGGGAAGAAAAAGCATGTTTCCTCTCATCTGTTTCTGTATGGCTCAGTTCTACATCTTTCACTAGTTATTCACCTCAAAATTGTAGCTTGCTACTCATTTCCACTGTGGGCAGGCATTTTCTACAACATCATCTAAATTATCATTAGCAGAAATGCCCTTAGTTTCCAGGGATGCAGAAATTTCAGAAAATAAAATGTAGTATGTGCATTTTCTGTGCATCTATTCTGATCTTTCTTTTCTGTCATTGGTTTCCATGTCACTTTTTAAGGGGTGAGAGGAGTATTACAAAACGCTACCATTTGTGTCCATGTGTATGGTATCTATAGAGTGTTGTGAAGGAGGCAGCTAAGAAAATGTGACTTTGTGTGGTACCAGTGAACAACATTTTTCTTCCCAGCTTAGTGAACTGAGATTGTGTTGCCTTAAGAATTCTCAGGAATGTCTTCCAGTTTCATTGACTAAAATATTCTATGTATTCTAATGTATGGCGCTCGTTGTTAGCCTGGTTTGGTACAAACAGATCATTATCTCTTAATGATAAGTGTTTGCACATGTAGGTGAGATTCAGAATTTTCATCTCTAGCATCTGTAGGTAAATATGCTTAGGTAGGGATGTAAACTGTTTGAGACCTCACTGATTCCTGCAGCTTAATGCATAACTCTATTCCAAGGCTAACAAGATACGGACAGTTTTTCCAGACTGCAGGTTATGAATAAATTTAGTGAGTAAAGTCTGTGCAGTATTCAGTTTATCTCAGGAAGGAGTTTCTCAGAGCGCTTCGGTAGGACTTGTGCAGCAGCATTTAAGCATACTTCCTGGATAAGAATACTTTCCTCACATGAAGCTTCCGCCATATTTTAAGAACTCATCAAATGTAAATCATATTTCATAGCTGAGTTGTAGTGTTTAGATTTGTCACCTTCAAAGTATCTACCTGCTGTCTAATTTAGGACAATGTTACACTGTCGAGGAACCAGTTTGCTGGGATCAAGAATTACTACATCAGCAGCAAGTGTGGAAAAACAATTTATGGTTTTAGACAACTGGTGTAAGAAAGATGGTGAAATTAAATATTCATTGTTCTTAGGGTGGAGGGAGAACATAAAAATAAAAATCACTGGACTTCAAGAAGGCAGACTTCAGAAAATTGTTAGGTAAGATCTCACAGAAGACAAATCTGAGGTAAGAGAAGAACTGAAGCGATAAGGCAAGAACTGAGATAAGACAGGTTCTTGGAGATGCAGAGGTCATGACTGAAACTCTATCCCAGTGCAGGCGACAGAGACTGGCTGTACTGAGACCAACTCAGATAATGAGGAACTTCATTGACCTCAAATACAAGGAGGGGAGACCTCCAGAAAGTGGCAATTCAGATACCACCAAAGAACGATGTTAACAGATAGGGATGAAAGTAGATGAGATACAACTGTCAACTGACAGAGAGTAAACACACAAATAGTAAAAGATCTGTGCTGACTATTTAAAAGATGGTTACTGGCATATTAAGCAATGGTGTGTTCAGTTTTTTGGTTGGTTATGGTGATGACTGATCCAAAAAGTCAAAAATCAACTGCCAGTGTATTGCCTGTGCAATTGATAAGAGTGACAGAGATTGAAGAAGCTCATCTAGAAAAAGGAAAAGAGGATAGAAAATGGTCACATGTTGTCAAATTGATAAGGCCTGTAGAATTTCTTTGTGGTATTTAAAGAACTTATCTGAAGAACTTCAGCATTTTTAAGATCATCTTTGAAAACTAATGTAAAACAAGAGAAGTACCAAATTGAAAAAAGCAAAAACAATGCTTTAACTTTTTAAGGACAAAATGGAGGAGAAGATAGAAATCATCGATCAACTGGCCTGTCATTGATTCTTTTGTTTCTGACCAGTAAAGATTAAAATCTGTTGTCAGCATCAGGAAGATATCCATGACGGGCATAACAACTGATAAGTATTTGCTATGATTAAGTCATGTGAACCCAGTCTAATTTCTTTCTGTGAAAAAGTGACAGATCCGGTGGATGGAGATAAGAACTAGTTGCTAGATCTTGATTTTTGTAAGGCTTTGGACACTGTTTCACGGGAGTCTTTCATAAGCAGAGCAGGGTAACAAAGGACAGGACTCTAAAAGCAGCTATTAGTTGGTCAGGGTCAGGGCGTGCAGACTGGGACTCTACATGTAGCTTCTCTGAACACAATATAAGGATAAGAGACAGTGCTTCCTAAATCAGTAACAAATTGACAGATGTATTACAAGGATGCTACAAAATAGAATTATAACTCAACATCTCAACTGGCAGAATGGTGTCCCAAAAACCAGGATCATCAACATGACTGTAAGATGCTGCTGTTAAGCAGCAGTCAGCATTTTCCATTTAATTTTTGCCAGCTTTCTTGAATAGGAGACTTGAATTTCAAACCAGTTTTGATGGTTTTCCTAAGAAAATTGCTCCAATGTTAAAATGGCTGTCAGTGCAACCAGCTGTCATTAACACCATCAAGAACTAGATGCAACAGTTTCTAATAACAGAAGTATAAAACAAGTCTTAACATCTTTTCAGCACATAAAATTTTCTAATCAACATTTAAACTGAGATATTTCTGTATGTAATCTGTAATTTTATAACATTTAATCTTGACAATGATTGTGTAATTGTCTTTAAAGCATCCAGTCAAGTCTTTACTTAAATAAATCTTCATTTTTCAGTTATGTCTCAAACACCTCATCTCTCCTCACATCATTTCACAAGATTTCAACTACCAATGTATGTTACATCTTAAAGAATTAGGGTATGTATTAGAC